GAATGCATTTAAGACCGACATAAAGATAAGAACTGTTTGCTGGGCTGTAAACAATATTGCAGCTGGTCTAGAGATAGCTCAAGCAAAATGGTTACGATTACGAGAAAAAATGTACTTAAGTCTTGGAAGTATGTACCTACACACCTACCCTTTTAGATTACCTTAGAAAATGACATTTTGGTAACAAGGAATGTCTTTGTGTTACAAAACGATATAACAAACTATGCTGTTTAGTCTGACTAGAGACTTATAAACAATGAATTCGACAGGAGAACACACAAGTTACCCTAACGACTTTTTGTTTCGATTATAAACCATAAAATTCATAGAATTGCAACTTTTTTTATGACGAAAAAAAAATTGTTTTCAACAGGTTTAATTAAATCTATCTAAATTTTTTTACATGGTTCACTTGTTTCCTTATTCTTTTTTGTATTTTATATAATCATACATTAAAGGCCTTGAAAAAATTACAATTGAATTTAACGATCCTTTTGAAGTTACGTGATTTTGCAAATTAAATTCGAGTGTGTAGAACGTGACAAGGTGTTGTAATTGAGAAACCAATACTTATTTGGTATCTTAATATATTGACTCTCTTGTTTGGTTCTCTTGTTGTGCTGAAAGCCAAAACACATGTTGAGTTTTGGCCAAATCCGAACAACATATGGAGCTGAAAATAAAGTGATTGCCTTTCCACACCAGAGAAAAACAAACGAAAGACAAATAAATAAAATAATTTGCAAGCCAGCGAAATTTGTACATAAATATGTCGGGTTGGGTGGAATAGGGGGCGAAGTAGCACTGAAATTAACTTGATGCAAAATTGTAAATCAGACACGAAATTTGAATAACTAATTAATGTTAAATAAATCGATTCTACACAAGATTTAAGAAAAATGTCAAAACCATAGCTAAAAAGCGTGTATTAATACGGGATTTAATTTTTTAATATTTTAAACCATTTTATACCTATATCAGGTTTTTATAACTAAGGTATTAAATCGGTAAATGCTCTTTTAAGAAAACTGTAATGAATTTATTTCAAAAAACCCAATTGCTGGCACTTATTTTCCCCGATGTATCCCATTGTTTATCGTATACGATACTGTGGGCCCAGACAAAACACTCACTGAGGGCGAAAACTAATCGCGGTCGGTGCTGCTTTTCCGTATTTTAATTGCACGTCTGCGGAATGCCGAAACTAACCCCCCATCCCAACCCCTCTGTTCGCCCACAGGAACGTAAGCACTCGCCAAGATGGGGGACATGTTCCGTAGTGAGGAGATGGCACTATGCCAGATGTTCATTCAGCCGGAGGCCGCGTACACCTCCGTATCTGAGCTGGGCGAAACCGGCTGCGTGCAGTTCCGCGACGTAAGTACGGATTGTCTTTAAAAAATACCCCGACTAATCAGGTGATATATCTTTTCGCAGTTGAACGTGAACGTGAACGCCTTCCAGCGGAAGTTCGTCACCGAGGTGCGGCGTTGCGATGAGCTGGAGCGGAAGATCCGCTACATCGAGACGGAGATCAAGAAGGACGGCATCGTCCTGCCCGATATCCAGGATGATATTCCGCGTGCCCCCAATCCACGCGAGATCATCGATCTGGAGGCTCACCTGGAGAAGACCGAGTCGGAGATGATCGAGCTGGCCCAGAACGAGGTGAACATGAAGTCCAACTATCTGGAGCTCACCGAACTGCGCAAGGTGTTGGAGAACACGCAGGGCTTTTTCTCCGACCAGGAGGTGCTCAACCTGGACTCCTCCAACCGAGCTGGAGGAGATGAGGCCACCGCTCAGCATCGCGGCAGGCTTGGCTTCGTGGCCGGCGTGATCAACCGCGAGCGTGTGTTCGCCTTCGAGCGCATGCTGTGGCGCATCTCCAGGGGCAATGTCTTCCTCAAGCGCTCCGATCTGGATCAGCCACTGAATGACCCGGCCACCGGTCATCCCATCTACAAGACCGTCTTCGTGGCCTTCTTCCAGGGTGAGCAGCTGAAGAACCGCATCAAGAAGGTGTGCACGGGCTTCCACGCCTCCCTGTATCCCTGTCCCAGTTCGCACAACGAGCGCGAGGAGATGGTGCGCAACGTGCGCACTCGCTTGGAGGATCTTAAGCTGGTCCTCAGCCAGACAGAGGATCACCGCAGCCGCGTCTTGGCCACGGTGTCCAAGAATCTGCCCTCGTGGTCGATTATGGTCAAGAAGATGAAGGCCATCTACCACACGCTGAATCTGTTCAACATGGATGTGACCAAGAAGTGTCTGATTGGCGAGTGCTGGGTGCCCACCAAGGACTTGCCCGTCGTCCAGAAGGCTCTGTCCGATGGATCTGCTGCCGTGGGCAGCACCATCCCATCGTTCCTGAACGTGATCGATACCAACGAGCAGCCGCCGACCTTCAACAGGACCAACAAGTTCACCCGTGGCTTCCAGAATCTGATCGATGCCTATGGAGTGGCCTCGTACAGGGAGTGCAACCCCGCCCTGTACACTTGCATCACTTTCCCCTTCCTGTTCGCCGTGATGTTCGGTGATTTGGGCCACGGTCTGATCCTGGTGCTGTTCGGAGCTTGGATGGTGCTGTGGGAGCGCAAGTTGGCACGCATCCGCAGCGGTGGTGAGATCTGGAACATCTTTTTCGGCGGTCGCTACATCATCCTGCTGATGGGTCTGTTTGCCATGTACACGGGCTTGATCTACAACGACGTGTTCTCCAAGTCAATGAACATTTTTGGATCGCGTTGGTTCATCAACTACGACAACTCCACGGTTTTGAGCAATCCGTCCCTGCAGTTGCCGCCCAACAGCTCCGCCGTGGGTGTCTATCCCTTCGGATTGGATCCCGTGTGGCAGCTAGCCTCGAACAAGATCATCTTCCTCAACAGCTTCAAGATGAAGCTCTCGATCATCTTCGGTGTGCTGCACATGGTCTTCGGCGTGTGCATGTCGGTCGTTAACTTCACCCACTTCAAGCGCTATGCCTCCATTTTCCTGGAGTTCGTGCCCCAGATCCTCTTCCTGCTGCTGCTCTTCGGCTACATGGTGTTCATGATGTGAGTTTACCTATCAAGTACTCATCTATTCTATTCAAAATGTAATCATTTTAAATGGTTTTAAGGTTCTTCAAGTGGTTCAACTATAACGCCAGGACGAACTTCCAGCCCGAGACTCCCGGTTGCGCTCCCTCCGTGCTGATCATGTTCATCAACATGATGCTGTTCAAGAACTCACCGCCGCCCAAGGGATGCAACGAGTTCATGTTCGAGTCCCAGCCGCAGCTGCAGAAAACCTTTGTGCTCATTGGCCTCTGCTGCATTCCCTGGATGCTGTTGGGCAAACCCCTGTACATCAAGTTCACCCGCAAAAACAACGATCATGTAGGTTTACTATGAGACTTACTTAGGTTGAGCTTGTATTTATCACATTTTATTTATACTTTTCCCGGTAGGCCAAACACAATGGTCAGCTGACCGGCAACATTGAGCTGGCCGAGGGTGAAACCCCTCTGCCCACGGGCTTCTCTGGAAACGAGGAGAACGCTGGAGGTGCCCATGGCCATGAGGAAGAGCCCATGAGCGAAATCTACATCCACCAGGCCATTCACACCATTGAATACGTGCTCAGTACCATTTCGCACACCGCCTCCTATCTGCGTCTCTGGGCTTTGTCCCTGGCTCACGCCCGTAAATATGCCTCTTAAAAGACTTTTTGATTACATTACTAATTACATTCGCATTCCAGAGCTCTCCGAGGTGCTGTGGCAAATGGTGTTGTCTCTGGGCCTGAAAATGTCCGGCGTGGGCGGCGCTATTGGGCTGTTCATCATCTTTGGAGCCTGGTGCCTCTTCACCCTGGCCATCCTGGTTCTCATGGAGGGTCTGTCCGCTTTCCTGCACACACTGCGTCTGCACTGGGTGGAGTTCATGAGCAAGTTCTACGAGGGTATGGGCTACGCCTTCCAGCCCTTCAGCTTCAAGGCCATCCTCGATGGCGAGGAGGAGGAGTAGACCCATCCGAATGTGCTCAAACTAGGGAAATGTGTATTCAATTATCAGCAAGATTTGTTTACTTCCAGCCCAAACTATTTTGATTGTTTGTTAAATGTTTTGTTTTGTTTAATTTTTCGGATATTGTCAGTATTGTGGTGCTCTTCCCACATTTTTTGTATCCTTCGTTTTGTATTCCATCTGTTTTAAAAGTATTCCTCATTTGAGTTGTGCCTAGTATTCTCAGAAACTGTTTCAAAAGCAATAATTTGATATTCATTGTTATAATAATACCTACTTATACAAATATTAATTGTAATAAATATACAGCAAAGAAGAGAACTGCAAATATGTTTGAAATGTTTAATTGGGAAACAGCTAATTTTAAGCACAAGAACAGGTTTTGTAGAGGTTTCGTAAACAAATCATTTAAAATATTTGTTGTTTTTCATGAACTTACATTTGAACAGTCTGGTCAAATAATAAATAGATAATTGTTATAACTGTTATACAAAACTTAGTTTTTGTAGCATACTTTCGGGTGTTATACGAAATGTTTACAGTCGAAATTCCTTAACTTGAACTGAAAATCGAGTAATGGAATTTATATTACTTCCATATATTTTCTATACTGCCAATAAAACTAGTTTTACTATAGTTTGACTGTATGAACTTAAATATATTTATTATAGTTCCTATTATTTACGTATGTGTCATGTATTTAGTGAACTGGAAATCAATTTATAATTATCTGACAATTGGTTTTTAATTCCAACTGGCTGAGTATTACGCCCAGGGCAAACTATTATCTGATAAGAGAAAGACTGTGATTTAGGAAAGGGGAATTGCAATACAGGCAACGGACATTCCGTCATTTTGATGGATGGCTCAATTGGGCACCGAGTTCCCCAAATATTTATCCAAGGCAGGCGACTCGCCTCCGCTGATAAGCCGCTGTGGGTCAGCAATCACCACGGAACCTTCCTCGTCCAAGTCAAGTGACCGGACCGATCAGTTCGTCAGCTGCGCTCCGAATGTGCGGAACCACTCTGGAATATTTAAGCACAAAAAAGAAGCAACAGGATCAGTGAACATGTCCAAGTCGTGGAGCTGCGGCTCCAATCAGGAGAGCAACAGCATTTTCCGCAGCGAGGTGATGTCCTTGGTGCAGATGTATCTTCAGCCAGAGGCAGCCTACGATACGATTGCAGCCTTGGGCGAAGTTGGGTGCGTCCAGTTTCGTGACGTAAGTGATCTCCTGGCTCTGGATAAATACATTTATCTGGATAGAGAATTTTATAAAGATCTAAGTCGGAGTCCTTCCACCCTTATCCCTTTAACAGCTGAACGTCAAGGTGAACGCCCAGCAGCGCAAATTCGTTGGTGAGGTGAGACGATGCGATGAACTGGAGCGCCGGATCCGCTACGTGACTGCCGAGCTCAACAAGGAAGGCCATAAGGTGCTCGACCTGATGGATGACTTCCCGCCGGCGCCGCAGCCGCGTGAGATCATCGATCTGGAGGTACACCTGGAGAAGACGGAGACGGAGATCATGGAGCTGGCTGCCAACAATGTGAACCTGCAGACCAGCTTCTTGGAGCTCAGCGAGATGATCCAAGTGCTGGAGCGTACCGATCAGTTCTTCTCGGACCAGGAGTCGCACAACTTCGATCTGAACAAGAAGGGCACCCATCGCGATCCCGAGCAGTCCAATGGCCATCTGGGATTTGTGGCAGGAGTGATCAGCAGGGAGCGGGAGTACGCCTTCGAGCGGATGTTGTGGCGCATCTCACGTGGCAATGTGTTCGTTCGCCGGTGCGATGTGGATGTTGCTTTGACGGATCCCAAGACAGGCAATGTGCTGCACAAGAGCGTGTTCGTGGTCTTCTTCCAGGGCGATCAGCTGCAGGGCAGGATTCGCAAGGTGTGCAATGGCTTCCATGCCCACATGTACCCGTGCCCCAGTTCGCATGCCGAGCGGCAGGAGATGGTGAGGAATGTGAAGACCCGGCTGGACGACCTCCAAGCCATCATCGACCAGACGAGAGACCACAGGACCTGCGTGCTGCAGGCTGCCCTGAAGCAGATCCCCACCTGGAGTGCCATGGTGAAGAAGATGAAGGGCATCTACCACACGCTGAACCTGTTCAACGTGGACCTGGGCAGTAAGTGCCTGATTGGCGAGGGCTGGGTCCCCAAAAGGGAGCTGGAGCTGGTGGAGGTGGCTCTGGCCGCCGGATCAGCCAGTGTGGGCAGCACCGTGCCCTCGTTCATCAATGTGCTGGACACCAAAAAGGAGCCGCCGACGTACTTCCGGACGAATAAGTTCACGCGTGGCTTCCAGAATCTGATTGATGCCTATGGAATTGCTGGGTACCGTGAGGTGAATCCGGGTCTGTACACCTGCATCACCTTCCCCTTCCTGTTCGCCGTGATGTTCGGAGATATGGGCCACGGCACTATCCTCTTCCTGCTGGGTCTCTGGATGGTGGTCGACGAGAAGCGGTTGGCTAAGAAGCGAGGTGGCGAAATCTGGAACATCTTCTTCGCCGGACGATATATTATAATGCTGATGGGTCTGTTTGCCATGTACACGGGCTTCCACTACAACGATATATTCTCCAAATCGATCAACGTGTTCGGCACACGTTGGGTCAATGTGTACAACAGAACCACTGTGCTGACCAATCCCACCCTGACGCTCAACCCCTCGGTGGCCACGCGCGGTGTCTACCCCATGGGCATAGATCCCGTCTGGCAATCGGCCTCGAACAAGATCATCTTCCTGAACACCTACAAGATGAAGCTCTCTATCATCTTTGGAGTCCTGCACATGGTCTTCGGCGTGTGCATGTCGGTGGAGAATTTCGTGTTCTTCAAGAAGTACGCATACATCATCCTGCAGTTCGTGCCGCAGGTCCTCTTTCTGCTGCTCATGTTCGGCTACATGTGCTTCATGATGTTCTACAAGTGGATCAAGTACAGTCCAACCACCGACGTGACGGCCGACAGTCCCGGTTGTGCACCATCAGTGCTGATCATGTTCATCGACATGGTGCTTTTCAAGTCGGAGACGGTCTTGCCGGGCTGTGAAGCTAATATGTTCCCGATCCAGAGGAATCTCGAGATGATTTTCCTAGTGGTGGCCCTTCTTTGCATTCCCTGGATCCTGCTCGGAAAGCCCTTGTATATTAAATTCCAACGCCGCAACAGGGTGAGATTAGATAAGATAAAAGTTGGGCTGTTTCGTATAAATTTAAAACTGTTACCTTTTAGCCTGCTGGCCCATTGGTGGAGGTAGATGAGATCGTGGAGAAGATAGAGGTTACCACCGGAAAGGAAATCGTCATCACGGAGGTAGCTGAGGCCCACGAATCAGGCGGACACAGCGAAGAGGATGACGAGCCCATGAGCGAGATCTGGATCCACCAGGCTATCCACACAATCGAGTATATCCTCAGTACCATCTCGCACACGGCCTCCTATCTGCGTCTCTGGGCCTTGTCCTTGGCTCACGCCCGTAAGAATCTCCTGGTTGCACAATTCAAGTTCGGCTTACAAGTGATTTTATTTCAGAGCTCTCTGAAGTTCTTTGGACCATGGTGTTGGCGATGGGACTGCAAATGAACGGTTATGTGGGCGCCATTGGGCTGTTTTTCATCTTTGCCGTTTGGGAGTTCTTCACCATTGCTATCATGGTCATGATGGAGGGTCTATCCGCCTTCTTGCACACTTTGCGTCTGCATTGGGTGGAGTTCATGAGCAAGTTCTACACTGGAAACGGCTATCCGTTCACGCCCTTTTGTTTCAGGGACATCTTGGTCGTCATCGAAGACGATTAGAAGCATATGGGGAGACCTCAGAGGGTACCTCATTTAAACAAGATTAATAAAAGAAGCATCACAAAATAATTTACTGTTCTTTATTAATTCATGACAGTTTTAAGGCAAAAAATAGGGATTTACTTTTTTTTATTTTTAGAATAAGCTATTATTACGGCAAGTGTTACGTGTCCGAAGTTTCAAATGGAATTAATATGCTTAAAGGGTTAGGTTTTGTTTAAGATTTAATTGCGTTTAGTTTTTTGATAATTTATAATCTTTACGTTGAAACGTAATTTTAAGAACTTGTTCATGTTTTCGTATAAAATAAGCCTGCAGCTTTCAAAGTCTTGAGCCAATATTGATTTAAAACTTTCATTAAGCGGAGCGTCGAGATATGATCATTTCTGATTTCAAATCGTCAAGGATTTCGCTGTTGAGAAAAATAATTAAAAATTATTTGTACTAAGTTAAACATATTTTTGTAAGGCAAATACTAACACGGCTTCCCGCTCAATGTGATAAAGACCACGGATATCATTAGTAATGGACGTTTGTATGTCATTGAATAAATTCCGTTTTTTGTTAAGCATCTCAGAGATCAACGACGACTTTGATTTTATCTTCAGCACCTCTTTCTTTAAAGCTTCGATGTGGTTCTTCAGTTCATGGTGTGGCTGAAACCATAAATATATTGGGCAACTTTTGTAGTCTTAAAGCAAGCTTACATATATCAAATTGTAATTGTTCCTATTATTTTAACTCGGCAATTTAATTTAATTGTTACCCTATGATCAATTGATGACTTTGATTAGGTCTTTAATATCTACATATGTCGACACACCTGATGTTAAGGTATCTAAAACTCTGTTACCGGCAACTCCTTTACCAGCAAACATTTTGATAGGCCAACTATTCGATAAATATTGAAATATTAAAAACAATATATATATCTTAAAACGTTAAAATATGAATTAAAGCAATCATATGTTTTGCCTAGTAGTCTTGGCTAGGTTCCTAACTTAAAATTTGAGGGTTCTGGAGCAAAGGAGCTGGCCTACCATCAGGGAGGTTTCGTCGAGAGGACTCTGCTGCTTGTGGGCCTTCTTGGTCTTGATGATATTCTTGCAGTGGTTCGCATAGGCCTGAGCCACTCCGCCCTTCTGGATGACCAGATGGTTGAGCGTGTGCAGGAAAGCCGCGTTCCTGGCAAAGAGATCCCCGATATTGGTCATCACGTTTGGGACTTTCCTGGCGTGACAAACGGAGCTCATCGCGACGTACTTCTCGGCCAGCAGCACCTCCATCTGCTTTTTCATGTCGGCCACTTTCGCTGCCCGTTCAGCATTCTCGGCGCGCTGCCAATGAAGTCATAACAAATATACATACATACATAACTATAATATTGTAATTGGTTTTTGTTAGCATACCAACTGCAACAGTTTCTTTTCAACACAAGCGGTAATTTCATCGGTTTGTGTAAGATTCGATATACTTTCAACGCTCTCCACCTTCTCGTCACCTATTAAAGCCATTGTTTTGATTGTTTGCCACCCACAGCTTCTTATATTTCCAATTAAATTTAATTCAACCGACTTATTTAAGCTGTAGCGCAATTTTGGCGTACAAAATGGCGGAAATAGTGCTGGATAACGAATACATAAATATCTGTCGTTCTTCGAAAGTAATCGATATATTATCGATCAATACAAGAGCGCGCTTTTTAAATTTAAACATTGCTTAATTACATACATATATATAATTCATTTTTTACGGATTATGGATCAGGTACCAGAAGACGAAAAAAAAACTTTAAAACTCTTTTTACTGTAATTATTAATTAAATTATCTATACATCAAGAAAGCTAAGGTTTTGAAAGGCTTGTTATTGTTTTTTGTACACTCATAGACACAAAGCATGCACCAAAAAATGTTGCGGTAAATGTTATGTGAAAGTGAAAAAAATGGCCTTTATAAAAAGCATTAAAATATTTGTAGATAGAAAGGATTATATAATGTTCCCAAAAATTAGGAGAGGTTTTTTATATCTTATCGCCTAACAACTTGGACGTGATCAATGATTAAAAAAGTTAACGTAACGTCAATCTTTCGTGGGTAACCTTGTTTGGTTTTCTTGGCGGTGGTCAAGAATTAAGTTTTCTAGAATTCACGTTCCCCGACTTCTAACAATCCGTGACCGAGAGCGAGGATGCCTAAGAATATGGCCTTTGGCCGTCAAACTAGAACCTCAGTGGGTCAACTCATGGTTCATTGATAAAGGCAGCATTCCAACCCACGGCCCACTTTCAGGTGGGTTTAAGTTTCTTTGGCTGTGCATCGCAAAAAGGTCAGCGCATTGAGGGCAGCGCTCAGCGGAAAATTCTTGCGGAGTGCAGCGAAATTCGCTGGTGTGAAAAGAAACGGGGAGTTTATTTAGAGGTGGTCATACCAGAACTCCGGTCAGTTGCAGACCCATCGAGCAACGCTCAGGTCTCCGGTCTTTCTTCCCGTACCTCTAACTTTGGACTAATAACATGTGGAACCTCTGCTTGGCTGCGGTTCTGTTGGGTCTGGCCGTTGTTAGCTGGGCGGATACCCTGGTGCAGCTCCATGTGAATCGTCCTTATAACGATGTGAACGAGAAATTCGTAAGTTTTGCCGTCCGGCCGGAGGATCTGTACGATGCTTTGGATGGTAAGAATCGCAAGGCGGTGATCAGTTTGGCAAATCTTCTGGGAGATGCGCACATCAAGTTCGTGGGCGATTTCTACTTTGCCAGTAATGCCCCGACTAGACTGCGAAACCCCACCAAGATCGTCTGGAAGGGCTTCAATCGATGGACGAGGTAAGTAGGAGCTTTCCACTCCTCTTTTTCCTAAAAGTAACCAAGTCTTTTTTTCGAAGGGCCGTAAACTGGACCATGATCATTCCGGTGCCATATGCTCCAGATGAGTGGGACTCCATGCACACGCTCAAGATCCTGAACACCTCCTACATGGTGGGCATCACCGACTGCATTTGGCAGCTGGGTACCGATTTTGGCACTTCGAGGGCCAAGGATTACGTCCAGGAACTGCGAACCCTCAAACTGATGACGGATACTTTCAAACCATACGTAGACGATTGGCGACTCATGGGGGCGGACATCTCGGCGGGAAGCAGTGCGGATGAAACCAAGAGATACGTGGATATGTCCAAGGATCTGAATACAGCCTTTGGGTGGACTCAGTAAGTAGAAACTGATCTATATTTAATTCCATTACTAATTTGGACTTAGCGGAATCTTATGCTAAAACATTATTAATTTAACATAACGTACTTGCCTTATAACAAAGATTTTTTTAAATAAATATATAAAAGCCTTAGACTTAGCAGACCCAATCTGAATTTATCGAAATGGATCCCTATTTTATAAGTCCTTCCTTCAAATCCTTTATTCAGTAAAAATATAATTGTTTAACATACATCCTTTTTTACCACTCTAACTGCTCATAATATTAGGCCCGCAAACATGTTGCCCAAGTCGAGTTTGGGTAGTTACCTGTACGACAGCGATCCCGCCCTCCGAATCCTCCAGCAACAGCGGGTTCCGCTGTGGCTTACTCTGCCCGAGGAGCGATCCTCGCAGAGATTGGTGGGCGACGAGACCACGGATGCCCTGCGATGGGCCCAAACGATGGGCGATGCGGCCACCAGTGGATTCGATGTGATCTTCAAGCGCATGACCCTGCTGGACTTCGAGCGACCCAACTTCAGTCTGTATGTGACTGCCCTGTTCAAGAAGGTCATGGGATCGAGGGTGTTCCCAGCCCGACCACTGAATGTCTTTGCGCCGAGCAATAAGCTGTATACCCATTGTGCGAGTGCCGTGTCCGGAGGACTGGCTTTTATGGTGGTCAACACGGAGGAAGAGCCCACTACAATCACGGTGAAGAGTACCAGTCGCTTGAGCAGCAGCGAGATTTGGCAGTATGTGCTGACTGGTCTGGACCAAAAGGTACAGCTCAACAATGTCCGTCTGCACCTGAACACCACTTTGCGGCCCTTGATCAAGCCAATTGATCCAACCAAGCCCCTGCAGTTGATCACGCCCAGCATGTCGGTGGGCTTCTGGGTGTTACCCGACGTCAACCTGGAACACTGCCAGTTCACGGAAATCGAGGCGGGCGATTCGAGTGGGGAGTCCTCCAAGGAGAAGCGCCGTTCATCCCGCTACAGCTCAGCTGATCGATTGCTCCAGCGTTTGATCGAGGAAACTGCCGTGGCCCGGGGTTCAGTGCAGAGTTCCATCAATCGCAACCGACGCTTTGTCGTTGATAAGGAGGAAACCCCAGTCACCCTGCTGGATCGTCTGCTGCAGCACTTCAAGGACGACAGTCCGTCGAAGAGAGATGTGGATGATGGCAAGGACAAGTCGGGGAAGCCCCATAAGGCGCTGGCCTGGTTGTACCAGGTCCTCGAGCAATCCCGCGATTTGGGCAAAAAGCGGGCCAGACGTAGCACCTCCAGCTACTCGGGACCCTTCTTCTACAACCGTCAGGGTAAGAAATCGGCACTGACCAAGAAGATCACGGAAATCCGCAAGCCCGAAAAGAAGAACAAGCCCCTCTTCGACTTTGACGAGTTCGATGAGGAGAAGTTCTTCAAGCGCATTGGGGAGAAATCGGAGGAAACTCCCACTTACTCACGGCTCCCGGAAGGGGATGTCCATCTCAAGAACATAGAGAGTGTGGATGGCGAGGAAAATGAGCAGGAAGTCGAGCAAGAAGTCCCCAAGAGGCGTCGAATCAAGCCCAAGAACCAGCTGAAGATCATCCCACGAGCTGAGGAGGATGAAAACGAACCGGAGCAGGAGCAGGAGCCAGAGCAGTCAGTGGGTCGCGCCAAGTTGCGGCTATTGCCCACGGAATTCTTTGAGGCACTACCGGCTCCCAAGCCGAACAAGCGATTGAATCTGGGGGCCACTCTGAACTCCCTGCTCTTTCCAGAACCCTTCTCCAGCAAGGCCACCATGGCCAAGGGTGCTCCAAGCAAGCCCAAGCCTGTTGAGGAACCCGAAGAGGACGTGGAACCCGTGCCAAGTGCCCGGAGACGCCACTCTAGGATTGGACATGTGGCCAACGATTTTCTGCAGGCACAAAAAGAGCTGGGAAAGCATTTCCTCAGCCACATAAGCGAGCATGAGCACGAGTTCTCCCTAGGCGACGAGGCCGTGCAGGAGAGTTCCCTGGAGTCGGGAAAGAAATCCCTTTTTGGAGTCAAGAAAGCAGCCCCAGCCTTGCATAAGACACTTCCAGAGAAGGTGGATGAAGGTATAACCTCTTGGTGGGATGTGCCTGCAATGCGCAGGCGTCGTGCCGTACTGCCCAGCAATTCCCTAGAAGAGCTCCGCTCCAATGGCATTGACAAAGCGGATCGCGAGGAGATGCTGCCCCTGGGAAGGTACACCTTCTACGAGTACAAGGTGGATCAGAGTCCAGAGAAGGAAGCCAGCCAACCCAAAGAGGAGAAGGAGTCCAAGATCATGAAGATCAGCAAGACGTCTGGCAAGGATCGCAGTCTCACTGCCATCTCCGAGAGCCTCGTAAGCACTGTCAAATCAAAGGTCTCCCGCTTCATCAACATCATCTCCAACCACATGAACGAGTGGTACAACACCTTAACCAAGCACCTGGATACGGAAACCGAACCCCAAAAGCCCCGCAGACAAAACACCATCGAGAAATAGACCCATTTATCATACGACATTTAAATAACTCATGTAAACTATCACCATGTAAATATGTATCTATTATTAAATGCATTTAATGGAATTTTATTTGTGCGATAACTCTCTGACAATTATCTCTTTCAAATAAAAAACGCAGGACTTAGGCAACGAACTAGATGGGCTTAGGCTAAGCTTTTGCTATATTGTTGAGCTTTCTATTTTGTTATGATACAGATACAACCTAAATAATAAAACTAATTACATTACATCTGTAGTTCTATTATCAATAGTAACGGCCACAGCATTTTTGATATTTTTGGGGATAATAATAAAGTTAAATTTAATTATTTTTTTTATTAAAACCCATTAAAAAGAAGAACCATTTCTCTGAATTAACAAGAAAACTTAGAAATATGTATAAACTAAAAATTAACACATTTTTCAAAGTTAAACTATAGTTTATATGACTGAATTGTTTACGAATGAAAAACAACTAAATTAAAATACACACAAATTGAGTGGCCTTTAATTGTTATTAGCTTATTTACTTCGGGATTCCCTTGAGCTTATCGTATAGTTATAACCTTTTGGTTATTAAAAAAATAATTGCTGGCTATTATTTTCTACATAATTTCAGGTTGTTTATTTCAGCCACATAACGACTGGTAAAGCTTTGCGAAGCTCCCCACAGGTGGCTTTTCCAGACCGGCTTTCTTGGAACCCACTCCCCAGATCTTTCTCTTACCGTTGGTAACTAGTTTTTCTCCCACTTTGCGTCGCTCTTTCTCGAAGTAAGCCACGAATGAAGACGGACACAAAGAGGAGCCCATGAAAGCGGCCAACCTGTTACCATGGCTATAACTGCAATAACAAAATCACCGCGACTATGGCAATACAATACCAACCAGTGGAGACGATCGCGCATTCTCCGCAGCCTCGGCTTTATAATCGGAATTCGGACTCAGTCTCCGTGCGATCGTTCAAGGCGAAGGTTGTGACAAGCTTTTGGATCTTCCAGTTTCTAACCGTTCCGCAAGATAGTCCAAAGTGCAGGCCAACAGCAGTTGCAATAAATTATAGATCAGCCAAGATCCAAAACAGGTGAGTGTGCACTAAAAACTTGTCTGTGGCTGGTGAAAATCAGCGAACAGAAGCCGAAAACGGGTCAGTTTTAGTCGGTTCTTTTTTCCATATGTAGATATTTTTGAGAATGCATTCGGGGCGGGGTTCTAGTGGGGAAGATCGGGGAGGAAGTTTTTGAGCGGTGCGGTGCATGCAAGCGTAACCAGAGCCAGTCTCCGAGTCTTGAGGAAAGCACTCGGAAATCTTTGTGACGTGGACAGCGAAAATAACAAAAAGAAAAAAACCAGAAACTCAAAACTACATGAAACTTTAGACTTTCTTTCTTTTTCAACCTTCTTTCGTTTTGGCTGCCAATGAACTTAGTTGTAAGTTTTTTTTCGGCGTTTCATCATAATAAGCCATAATTACGCACATGTGTGAAAGTGAAAGTGTGGATTTTCACAACAGTCCCACAAAATCGATTTATTGACAGACTCTGATAAACGTTTGGAGTTGAAAAAACCTTCGCCGACTGACCGATAACCCAAAAAATGAAACCCCAAAACCCAAAACCAAACTCGTTTTGTTTCGCCCTAAGACAATCGTCTGGCCTTTGCTACCTCCAATATTATATAATCTGATTTGCATGTCGACACGGATATATACATATGTAGTATACACACCTCGGAATATTTGTAGGATGGGTTTCATCTTCGGTTGGCTGCCAACCGAGTACTATGTGCGCGACATCTTCCTCATGGCTTTATTGGCCGCCATAGTGGCCACATTGATGAGCATTCGGTTCTATATGCGCATCACGGCGGGACGATGTTTCACCGAGGTAACGAACGAACCTCCCCCAATTGCCAAATCGCCAAATCGCCCCATCCCAGTAACCATGATACCCAATAATTAAGTCCAAAAGATCCTCACGCCCCGAAATAGTGACACGACTTGAATAAATCGTTCTTTTTGTGGTTGTTCTTCCCACTTCCGCAGCGAATTCTTCTCAGATTTTTTATATAAGGTTGTTATATACATACAAATTATACTGCTTACCATTAAAAGACATTTTTTACGATAAGTTGGTCACTAAGCCAAAAATCAAATAGACTGAAACAGATTTTGACAAGTTATGCCATTGTTTAACTCACAATTTTGACTATTCAAAATTTACAATATGTTAACTTGTGAATAACTTTTTATGAATTTAGGATACAAATTTATTATGTCGATTGGTTATGCAAAAATACTTAATAAGCTTAGCCTTAGGAAAATTTTGAATTATCTGCAGCCTGTTATAAATTCCAACTATGCCAAATCTAATTACTATAAAATCACAGCTTGTAAGTCCTAGCACAATCTTGTTTCAATCTTGTTTTTTTTATTGGTCATATGTGACGCGTTGACTTAATTACAGATTAGATTTGAAACCTTCCGAGAGATGCGGGTACGTCACATCTCTGAGATACGGTTACCACCTGACAGTGCATTGTCTAGATCCCACAAAACATCTAAGCTTTAGCATCTCGGTTACAATCTGGGCGATCGCTTACCTGTGATTCACAGAGAGTTCTCTGCTCGGACGGCAATTAAGACACCCGTTAATGGGAATGAAAACAAAGAGACCTTCCATTTCAGACGAACGAACTGTGATTACTGGGACTGTGACCAAGCGCCTACTAATTACTGTTGTAAACATATTTCCGAGCCGCCCAAGACCGTGTCAATTGCGATCGTAGCCTCCTATTAACTAATTAACCTCTGGCATCGATTACAGACTAAGATGGAGGGCAAGACCGTTATCATCACTGGCGCCAACAGTGGAATTGGCAAGGAGACGGCCAAGGATTTGGCAGGACGTGGAGCCCGCATTATTATGGCTTGCAGGAACCTGGACACTGCCAATGCTGTGAAGGGTAAGTGGGCCAAATAATAACCAAACTATGTGTATCACAAACAAGAATCTTTCCAATTGACAGATGAGATCGTCAAGGAGACGAACAACAGCAAGATCCTGGTAAAGAAACTGGACTTGGGTTCCCAGAAGTCCGTGCGGGAGTTTGCCGCTGACATCGTGAAGACCGAGCCCAAGATCGATGTGCTAATCCACAACGCCGGCATGGCTCTGGCCTTCCGTGGACAGACGAGTGAGGACGGCGTGGAGCTGACCATGGCCACCAACCACTATGGTCCCTTCCTGCTGACGCACCTGCTCATCGATGTGCTGAAGAAGAGCGCTCCGGCTCGCATTGTGATCGTTGCCTCGGAGTTGTATCGCCTGTCCTCCGTTAACTTGGCCAAGTTGAACCCCATCGGCACCTTCCCGGCTGCCTACTTGTACTACGTGTCCAAGTTTGCCAACATTTACTTCGCCCGGGAGCTGGCCAAGAGGCTGGAGGGCACCAGGGTGACCGTTAACTTCCTGCACCCCGGCATGATTGACTCGGGCATTTGGCGCAACATTCCCTTCCCCCTCAACCTGCCCATGATGGCCATTACGAAGGGATTCTTCAAGACCACCAAGGCCGGCGCCCAGACCACCATCTACTTGGCCACATCCGACGAGGTGGCCAACGTGTCCGGCAAGTACTACATGGACTGCAAGGAGGCCACCCTCAATGCCGCTGCCCTCGACGAGGAGAAAGGTCTCAAGATCTGGGAGGAGTCCCTCAAGATCGTTAAGCTTACGCCCCAGGAACCCAAGATCTAGTCGGCTATCCCGGGCTGAAAGCTAGTGCACAGCGTCCTATGCGCAATTAACTGATTTGCTTTTCTTGTTATTAAGGGGGAGTTTACTGTAGCCTAAGTTTTTCATCTCAATAAATAAAAAATAAAAAAAAATAGGAAGGTTACTTCCTTAACAGCTTATACATACATATGTGTACACAAAATATAAATCAAATTAAAAGGAAATGATTAGCTCGAATCTTGTTCTTAAAAAAAATTTTTCTCCAAATTCCAAAATATATTGGTATGCCAACCAAACAATTTATTTATTTATTTGTTTATTTTATTTCCCCAACAGTTATCCTTTACTTGCTACTTATAAATTAATTTTTATTACAACTTATAAACTAGACCTGAAAAGACAAATACTTTCAGAATGTTTTTTGTACAAATTTGTGTTTGATTTGTTTGATTTGAATAGCAAGAGGCTCTGTAAATTGTTTTTATTTGTAATTTGTTCTCCTTTTTCCATTGATTAAATTAAATTAAATTCCACTAATTAATGAATAAGTAAAGAATGAATTTTAAAATTGAACAGATAGCCATTATGGACACAACGTTTCAATTTCACGTTCATGAGAAATGCTCAGAACGACAAATCACAGCGCCAACCGGGTAAAGAAACCCGATACACAAGAAGCAGGGTGCAAAAGCGGGGAAAAGCCAAAAAATTCTCACACAAAATTTCGCCAGGCTCGGTCACCTGTTGACGAGGGTGAGGGGGGTGTGCATCCCAGGGGATTCCACCAGCAGACATAATCTGATAAAATTGCAGTCGCATCCTTTGCTGGTTGTCACCGCCTTTGTATCTCCAGGCTTAGGGGGTTGCGGTTGTTCGCTTTCGGGTAGATGATTATCAGCTACTCAGCGGGCACGTGACCTGCTCGATGATGATAGTGCCGATCGGTGGCTAATAATATGTTAAATGGCGTAATTGAAATTTAATATTTATCCAAAGGATTACTGGATAATCATTTGCGGTTTGCCAAAATGGCATTAAAGATAACGGAGCGTGCGGCACCGCAGATAATTGAGGTACAAAACGCCCTTAATTCGCTACTGTGAGAAACTTGTGCGTCATCAATTAGATCTTCTCGCAGCGTTTGTTTGCGGAAGTGATTCCCTAATAAAAAACAAACAACGAGTGCGTTTTTATTGCTGCATTGGTTTGTCCCCTGACCACTTTTCCAGGATACCAACTCCATTGATAAGGAGTGCCAGTGGTGAACCCTTCTGCTTCTTCCCCCTCTTTGTTTTCCCAGAAAGTATCGCCTTACAAATTCAATTTGGCGCGCTTCACTCAAGTGTGAGTACACGTCCAAAAGGACGAAAGGACATTGTTGTGGCCAAGTTCAGCTGTAATTCAAGTAGTTGTCTCCTTTTCTTGGGGGAGTCCTTCGCCGTACTTATACTTCTCCTCGAGGGTTTGTAATAAGTCGCGCGCATTTAATAAGCTGGCTTAGGTTTTTAATAAGAAGTGAATTATGCGACAGTCCCGATCCCGGCTCGTCCAGCTGTCAGGACTGCAGTTCGGATTCGTCCTTCTCCATCCTGTCCGGCAAATGTCAACTGGCAACGACAGTCAACGGCCTGTCACGCGGTCATCGATACTCTCCTTCGTCAGCGAGGGCGTGTGCAGTCGGCCCGATTGCACTCACAGATGTCCCAAGGACTCCAGTTCCAGAACTTTACCATTCCCACTAAGTCAGGGCACATCGTAGAAACCATATAGAGGACGACAGTTGTCGATCCATCGAGAGGAAATATTGTTATCCAAGCAAGGGTTCTCTAAATTATGACTAGGAACAATATGAATACATGCTAGCTAATATTTTGTGAGACAGATTTAAAATGCGTTTATTCTAAAAATTATTATTGTTGCTCAAGCCATCTTGTATAAAACTAAAAAATTATACTCCAATTTTTAATCAAATTTTCACGAAACAAGACATATCATTTTCAATTCTTATTTGATTTTGAAGAAGATTTAGAATTGCTTACTTATATTAAAACATTAATTAAATAGAAAAATACCATTTTAAAAAATTATAAAAATATTCCTAGTTTTTAGCTTAAGTGCTTGTAACTGCATTAATTACTGTCCGATTTTTCGGAAATATACAAACAATTGATGGACTAACGAAATGCTAATATCTCAAGAGCCTATGTCTCTAAAACAAGCTTTATAGAGCATTACAAGGCAGAAAATCAAAATTTGTATACTAGGGTTATCCAGAATTTTACAAAAACAGTTAAATAATCGAAGAAATTCAAAATTAATTACTATCTCCAACTGACTTACTCGCCCACTTTGGACCAAGTTGGCTTAGCTCTTTTTAGCCGGCATCTAATATGACCGAATGGCATTAACATGTTGAATGACTTGAGTGGCAGAACAAAAAGCAAAGCGCAGCCAAAACCAGGAGAAGCCCCACCAGTGCCGCCCAAAAAGTATTTCATTGATTTTCGAAGCCTCGCCAATACACAACACAACGGAACACAGAGCGGCGAAGGCAAAAGAAATGAAACGAACCAAACCGAAATGTACGCAGAATGGAAATGAGTGAAATTTGCGTTGCTGGTGGCAACATGGGAGTCCCGGGCAGGGATGGGAAGTCAGCCAGGGATCATGTCCTGCCATTGTTTGTCAAGTTAAATACGCAAAACAAACAGAAGCAACCGATGAGCCTCTGGGCAAACAATTCCACGTGCGGTGATAAGGTGGTTGATGGGCTGGTGTGATAACAGGTCTCTGGTAGAGGGTGCTCAAAATGATTTACCCTTCGGCTTAATTTGTAGCAAATTCACAGATTCATTAGCTTTTGCGGTCGCCAGAGGGAAAGTGGAAGATGCTGCTGCTGCGGCAGTTTGATCAGCTGACACCTGAACACACCTGAGGGATCGCTTTAATTGTTATTGATACCCGGATTGACTTGGCTACCAGCTACCTCAAGGAGCGGATCCTAATCCGTTCTGACAATCGGCAGCAGAGACGGGCTCATGTCCTTAGCCAAGTTGTTGACATGAAACCGACACCGAAACCGAACGTAAAAAACAGAAACTGGTTCGGATCTGATCAGACTGTGGATCTGATTTTAACACACACGACGCTGGCTGGGTTTGACCTGAAATTCCCATCGATGAGGTAAACCGATATGGGGGATATGGCTCGATATGTATGCAAGCCCTTGCACCCAACTGATTTTGTCAATTGGCGAATTCATTTTCGGGCGTGTGAACTTTTTCGATTGGATGGGGATAGCTCTGAATTGGGCTCTATATCGGATATACCTCCTCAGCTACCTATATATATATATCTGGGATAGACAATTGTTTCACAAGTTTCCTTAGCTATTCCATCTGGCTTGCCATTTATTCCCAGCTTTTTCCGCTTCAACCACAAATCGAACTATCAAATAACATTCAAACTATTCACAATTGTCGGCGCGGCGACAAGAGAATCGATCGATAGACAGTCCTCATTGGCCGAGCTACAACTGAGAATTAGCACCGGAGATATAAAGATACGGGCGCAACAGAAGCAGATACACACGGTCTGATACAAAGATACATAGATACAAAGATACAAGTTACAGAAGCAGCCAGGGGTTGCCGACTTGGCCTGATGGACTGCCTCACTTGACCACAAAACAATGGAGCGAAGGAAGCAGAATGCCGACGAAGACGATCAATGGTTGGCAAGACCAAACCAACTACCCCTTATCCCGCCCTCGAATAACCCTTGCACTGACAAAAGCAATTTCGAAAGATGTCATCTAAAACTGGGACGAAATTAAGCTAAAAGAATTGAATTTTTGCAGAAACTAAGTAGCACAACTTAAATAAATACTTTAACATTCTAACAAATTATGTTAAGAAAAAATGTAATTTATGTTACGGCATTATGGTAAGCTAAAATTGGGTTTTAAAGTGCCAAGTTCATACTCCTTTTTTAGTTTAAAATTTAATTACATTTAATTTTACAATGAGGTTAAGGCTAAGAATTGTTTAAATAACTTAAGCGGCTTAAAAATTCTTTATTTTAAAAATTTTAAAACAACCAAAATAAACTAATAAAATGGAATAGATATTTAGATGAAAAAGATCCGCTGAACTAAGGATTATGATCAAAACAAATGCATATTTATAATGATGAGTTCTTTTTTTCAATTTTATATACTAACTTACTTGAGTTTCATGCATTGTTGAGGAGTATTTCAAAATTTCTAATTATTGGTTGGAAGCAATAATATTTCTTGCTTTCAAAACCTTAATATGTAAAAATCTAAATTTGTAACTTTCTATTAAATATTAATAGCTGGTGTTTATTTTTTAAAGGTGTACTCTTTCTTAGCCCTGTCTCGTTGGTATCTGGTGTCGAGCTGTAAAGATATTGGGTGACAAATAAAAACTACTGAAAACTGCAGCCGCTGTTGCTGGTTGTTGGTTGCTGTTCCCTGCTGGCGATGTTGCCTCTACCGATGTTGCTGGCCACGTATGAATGGGCCTGAAACTCGGACTGGGCGGGATCGGTACTCGGGGAGGGGGATGAGGGGGTTCGGGGGCTAGGGGTTGTGGAACCAGCAGAGGGGTAGTAGCCGCAAAAGCCGGTAGACGGAGCGCATTGGTTGGCCGACAACGATGACGGCAACGTTGTTGTGGTGGTTGTTGGATATGGAGTGGGTATGGCATGGGATATAGTATACTATGGGATGGTATAGTATGGGATGATTTGCTGCGAAGAGGGGGGTGTTTCGAGCAAGGGTCTCAAATGTGTGTAGTGTGTAGTGCTTGCAGTACTTGTGTCATTATATCTGGCTCTGGGTGTGAGTGCGAGTGCGAGCGAGATTGTTGTTGCCACATTGATGCCGTTGTCTTTTGCGCCCTTTTGTCGCTTGTTTATAATTAAGTGAGTATTTTTTTTTTGCACCCCGCTTCTTCCTCTGCGGTTGTCGCTTTGCTGCCGCTCTGCCGATGTGTCAGTCGATATTGGGCCGAGGTGCCTCGAACTGAAAATGACAATTAGTCGCCGTCTTATGCTCATCGCCAAAAGTCGCTTCTTTCCCCGCACTCAACTCGAAAACTCAAAACTTGCACAACGGCCCCACATTCCAATTTAAATATCTAATCGGAGAACAACGATCGTGTGTTATTACTGTCGCGTTAAAAATCATAAACACTAAATAGGATCTTTAATAAAATATATTACGAAAAATCGAAAAACAAGTTAAAGTGTCCTAAATTATTGGCGTTCTTCAGATCATGCAGCTCGTGAATCTATTTAGAAGGTGCGAAAGTGAACTAGATTTTAAACTAACAATTTATAAACTTACAACAACTTCAAATTCCTAGTGGTGCATGCTAAAACAAATAATGTGAACAATATAAAAATAAAATAAAAATGTAATGTGCTGAATATAAAACATATAACTATAACTATCCGCCAGTAAAAACCAGTTAAATCAATACTAACGTATACCAGGAACAGGAGTTTCAATTACAAAGAACAACTCTCTTTTAAATAATATTGTGTTGTAAAGTTCTAAAAACTTGAATAAAATGAATTTTCAAACTATTTTTTAACTCAGCGATATTATTGATTTTGTATTATTAGTCATAAAGACATGAGGCGTTATTAAGGCAGTTTAAAAACAAACTCTTGGAAGAATTACTTTTTGTATAAATATTGTTCCGATTTTTTTTTTTAAAGACAAATACATTAACATATATCCGTAGAGTCCTTCGTCGTTCAGCAATTGAATAACTTATCCCATACTTGACAATGAAATATTATTAAAACTGTATCTGACCTGTTAAAGCTCTTAATAATAACTCATTTTTAAAGCAATGTGTTTTAAAATTACAAAGAGGGAAATATGGGAATACCTGAGTGTGGAATGATAATTATTTTAAACTTAATAAAGAGCTGAAGTGAACTTTGGCAGCGGGAGAAGTATATCCGAATAATGACTTATCCTCGCCTTGCAGTTGGAATTTAACGCATCAAGATGAAACGTAGAAAAAGCAGAAACAAAGCAAAGAGCCCTGAGCCCAAACGTTCCAGAACTGGAGTCATGTCATGGGATTGTTATATAAGGGTTCCAAACTCCTGAACTTAATTCTGGGTGAGTTGTCGTCGTCACATAGATGCCTTAGCAGATATGCATATACACAGATACAAATACGCGAGTTGAGTTGAGAGAGCAAAGCAAATGGCGGTCTCTCGTGTCGATTGTGTGTGTTTGTGTGTGTGTGTGTGTCGAGGGGCGGAGCTATGGGCACAGTGGTTGTCATGGGACAAAGTAAAATGTATCCACGAGATGCGAGCTCTTTTCGGGCATCTCTGGCGCACTTCCAGTGGTCTAAATGGTTGTTTTTTGGCTGCGCAGATTCCCTGGAAGATCAAGAGGGTGGAGCTATGTACATATCGTGCGATGTCTCAAACGGCGGTCCTGTGGAACCAGAGACGGGCTATGTGCCCAACAATCCCCTGTTCGGCTTGGCGCTGGACAGCCCGCAGGTGAGTCCTGGCATCCCTTTCGATCTGGGTTTAATCTCTCCGGAAAACTCTTCGCGTTCGGTTGTGCTTTTTGGGCAGATAACAAAACCCCTCGAAATCGGTAGTTTTACACCTAAAATTCACTCACAGTGTTAGTTGAAATGTAATTACCAGGGACCGTAAATAACAAAAAATAGTTAAAAGAAATGAAAGCCCAAAAAAACTCTTCAGAAGCAAAAGGAAAAGCTTACTTTTTTTTTATTGAAAATCAGAAAACGCGGTTAAAATTGTATTTTATTTGTTACAGTTTGTATAACAAAAATAAAACAAGAAAGAAAGCAAACTTCGGCAAGCCGAAGTTCATATACCCTTGCAGCTATTGCATGAATTAAATACTTTTGAAAACATTTAAATTATGATTTACTTGAGTATATGCTGAAAAACATTGAAACTATGATGACTTGCAGCTCAATTATTAGATAGTTATTTTATATATTTTTATTATTTCAATGGGAGCTATATGCTATAGACGTCCGATTTTGATAAAATTTAAAACATAATTCTGAAATAATTAAACATTGCTATATGTCGAAGAACTAAACAAAAAATTAAAAAACAGAAAAGTTATAATTTTTTTTCATTTATTTTTCCGATTGTTCCTATGGGAGCTATATGCTATAGTCGTCCGATTTTGATGAAATTTAAAACATAATTCTGAAATATTTAACCATTACTATATCTCGAAGAACTAAACAAAAAATTAAAAAACAGCAAAGTTATAATTTTTTTTCATTTATTTTTCCTATGGGAGCTATATGCTATAGTCGTCCGATCCGGCTCGTTCCGACTTATATACTACCTGCAATAGAAAGACAACTTTTGGGAAAGTTTCATGCAGATAGCTTTAAAACTGAGAGACTAGTTTGCATATAAACGGACGGACAGACGGACGGACAGACGGACATGGCTAGATCGACTCTACTAGTGATGCTGATCAAGAATATATATACTTTATAGGGTCGGAAACGTCTCCTTCACTGCGTTGCAAACTTCTGACTGAAATTATAATACCCTCTGCAAGGGTATAAAAAGGAACTCTTATTTTCCACTTTTTTGTAAATTGCAAAATATAAACTAGAAAAAAAGAAAGAAATATGAACAATTATTATTATATTATTACAGAACTGACTAGAAAATACGAGTAATGCTAGCAGAGTTATTTTATCAATTGAAGCTTAAAAACTCATCGACCCACAAAATGTAACATATTTAACGATTTAAATTTTAAATAGTTGAGAAATATTAACAGGTTGCGCCCACAGAATCGGTTACTTTTGGTAAACGGATTTAGATTCAGGTTTTATCACAGCAGAATTAGTTATTCAAGGTATTTTTAAAGCAATGTAAAAATGAAACTAAAAATTTAAAATTACATTAAATATTCTAAAGAATATGCTACGTTGTGTTCTATAAATAAAGATCCGACGATTTGAAACTAGTTTTGTTATCTTATAACCGGTTGCCTTGCTCTCCATTTGCATTTTCGTTTCCGTTTCCGGTTGTGCAGCAAGAGTGCGCCGCTTCCTGCGTCGGCTGTTTATCCTGCCAGGGCAGCACCGCCCTGCCCATCTCCTCGCTGACCAGCAGCGACTTCGACTGCGGCGGCTGCTTTGATCCCACGATTGGAGTGGGCGTGGGCATCGGCGGCGGCCACATCCAGATCAGCACCACACCGCCGGCGAGCAGCGGCAACGGGAGCATCAACAACGGCGCCGGAGAGGGGCCCTCCGGGAACCACGGCTACTGGAGCACCGACGAGATGGCCTCCACATTCCCCGGCCTGCCGCCGCTGGACATTGATCCGCTGCCCAGCCTGTTCCCCTTCTCGCCCTGCGGCGCCTCCTACAACTTCGCCGCCGGCAATCCGCACCAGGCCTCGCTCTCCTACACGGTGCATCCGCACCAGATGCTCATCTCGCCCAATTCCCACAGCCACGGCCACGGCCACGGCCAGATGCACTCGCAGCACCAACAGCACCAGCAGCAATCCCAACAGCACCAGACATCGCACGTGGGCAACTCGCTGCTCCAAAGCAGCGCAGCAAATAGTATTGGCAGCAATGGTGGCTCCAGTGGAGCGGGTAACCCGGCTGCCTGCTACTATGATTCCGGGACAGCTGGCACCGCTGCACCTCCTCCTCCGCCGGCGGCTGCCATGTACCCCAGCATGAGTGTGAATGTCAGCATGAACATGACCATGCACCATGGCTATGGGGCGGGGGATGCCGGCGGGGTGCCCATGCAGTGTTCCCAGATGAACTGGACGCCGCCGAGCAACTCCTCTTCGGCGGCCGCAGCAGCGGCGGCGGTCAATGTGCTATATCCGCCGCTCCTCAGTCCCGGCCACTATCCCGCCTCGGCCACGTACTCCTTTACGGCGGACTTCCGGGCCCCGGCACCCACCGGCTTGGGTTCCCTGCCCCCGCTGACGGTGGGCGAAAAGGAGTCGCCCTCGCCGCCGTCCAACTCCGCCCTGGGTGGATACTACCCCACCACCGGGGTGGGGGTGGGCAACCAGGGATACACGCCGCCCCACAAGAGCCCCAGCAGCTACCAGGCTGCCGCCCTCGGCCTGAGCCTCTCCGCCTTCGAGGACGAGGAGGACAGCAACGAGGAGCTGGACGGGGACGAGGGCAGCAGTGGCGGCGAGATGAAGCCCAATCTGTGCCGGCTGTGCGGCAAGACATACGCCCGACCCAGCACGCTCAAGACCCACCTGCGGACTCACTCCGGCGAGCGACCCTACCGCTGCCCCGACTGCAACAAGAGCTTCTCGCAGGCCGCCAACCTGACGGCCCACGTACGCACACACACCGGCCAGAAGCCGTTCCGCTGCCCCATCTGCGACCGACGCTTCTCGCAGAGCTCCAGCGTCACCACGCACATGCGCACCCACTCCGGCGAGCGGCCGTACCGCTGCTCCTCCTGCAAGAAGTCCTTCTCGGACAGCAGCACCCTCACCAAGCACCTGCGAATCCACAGCGGCGAGAAGCCCTACCAGTGCAAGCTCTGCCTGCTCAGGTGAGTCCTCCTACAACCGCCGTAAAAATACTTTTCACGGGAATACAGATTTAAATTCGTTGAGAGTTTCTTTCAATTAGTATTGAAACTATAAACTATGTTTAATGCTAAAATAATACTTATAAATCCCAAAAATATGTTTTGATTGAGAGTATAAAGCCATTATTCGACATTTTGTTTAGCAGCCTTTCTTAGCTGCATAAACTTAAAGTAAATAATATTTCGGATTTACTTAGACATTTATGCAGTCTTTAAAAAAATCTTGTTAAGTTAGTTAAAAATAGTTGTTTTGCTTAATAAAGAGAATGTCATTTTAAAAATTGTAAAAATTAAATGTTATATTTTCTTAGTTTTAGTTAGTTTTTTAGTTAATTAGTTTTTTTTTTACTTATAACAAAAAGATTTTCAGTCATTTTTGGTAGAAAACTTTTAATAATCTCTTTAAAAGACTAAGATCAGAGAACTCATCAGCGGTGAAATATTAAATAATCTATTTGTTTGAATTTAGACATTCGATTTTTGACTTTTTGATAGCAATAGAGACTAAGGCATCCACAAATGTCCAGTGCTGTTTTTTTTTTTTTTTCAAGCCCCTACTGTTCATTCCATTACCTGAAAGGTGGAACTCGAGTTAATTGCCTTTTTTGCCCATTCCCCCACAGATTCTCGCAGTCGGGAAATCTGAATCGGCACATGCGCGTCCACGGCAACAACAATAACAACAACAACAATGGGAGCGGCGGCAGCAATGGTGGAACAGGCGTCGCAGGCGAAGGCGCAGGCGGGGGTGGCAACAGCCTCCTCACATGACAAAAGCCAAGGAGTGCAGGCGGCTTCCAGCACTACCACCCCCCGCACACACACCACATGCACCACCAGCACCACCAGCACCACCAGCACCATCATCACCACCACGCCCACATGGGAAACTACGACTACGGGAACTACAGCATCGGCGACTACACTCCACCCGGAGCCACACAAAACTATTCAGGGTATTATTTCTGCGCACTCAACAAGCCACCCAAGTTTGAACGATTCTACTAGGGCTAGGGCCCTAGAACTAGGGGACTCTGAGAAGAAAATCTTAACTATAGGAAGCATCTACCAGATACTGTCACTGAAGAAATCTAATGAACAAAGTTTAACTAAAAAAAATTATCTGGGGATTATAAGAGATTTCGAAAACATCTTGAACATTAAATCTCCTAAATTTTAACATGTTAACTATAAGATAATATATCTTTCAGTTGCAATACAATTATGTAATTCTTTCAATCTATAACTTCTTAAAATTTTTTTGCAACGAATTATACAATTGCCGTCAAAATAACAGTAGTATTTTAGCTTATGGAAATATCAATCAAAAATAGTTTAAAAGCAACTTTTAGCATTTTTTTTTTATTTTCGTGAATCTAAAATATATGGGGAAAATATAAAAACCCAAACTTATCATGGGTATACTATTTATATATATTTTCAAAAAGGATTGAGACAAAAAGAGTTTTTCACTTTTTAATTTAAAAATTAGGTCAGTATATTGAAAGGTAAATGAAAAGGAACACTTTCCTTCAATATCATAGAAGAAAGGTTGACCCCATACCTTTATGTTATTTTTTCCGCAACTGTATGTCTTATGACGCTTTCCTTTAGAAAAATTATTACGGTTCCTCTTTTAGATATTATATCTTAACATTTCAATGAAAACTGAGAAATCTCTTAAAGTTTACGCCTTTACAGAAGATGTAAGCTTAGAGGTTGTATTCTCATTCACCAGATCCTAACCCAAATGCAGTTAAATATGCTCAAATAAAAATTTCTGTTTGATTGCGGAGAGTCGAACAAATGTAGGCCTAAGCGCTGCACTGTACATACATATAAATACTGTATTTATTATAATCACCTAGCATAATACGTTTTGAGTCCAAGTTAGTTTATCCGTGCTAAAATAAGGTAGTTGAAAACACGCATAAATCTATTCCAAATTAGCCAACGAAATAGGAATTAAGTCGGATATGAGGTCTAATCATAGGACCAACCAACACAGCAGCACCCAAAACGAGAATATTAAAATTGGAATTGTCAAGGAATAATTCACTTAAAAGCCTAAACACGAATATAATTAAATTAAGCTATACTTAGTTGTAGATGTAGGAAAGGTGCTTTGATTTAAGTCAATTTTTGAATATATCAAAGAAAATTATAAATAAAATATGAAATTTGAATAATAGCAAAAACAAATAAAACCTAAATTATGAACTGAATCAATAAACTGGGTCGGAAACGCTTATTCTCAAAGTAATGTAAGATACTCTCTAAAAATATCGATAAAAACAAAAATATCTACCTCGATTTTATAATGCCGGTGGCATTATTTGAGCAAGAATTTTTGAATGAAAACAAATTGCTGAATTAACAAGTGAAAAATTATATAATGTAGAAAAAGATATTACAAAGCTTACAAAGCGTTCAGGCAATGTGGTCGACTAGGTAAACGGCCTCCGTATCGGCTCCGCAGACCAGACGACTTCCGTGGACATCAAAGGAGTTGACAGCCTTGCGGATGTTGCTCAGAACGCCCTCCACATCGACCAGGGAACGTACTCGATCCCCAGACAGCCAGGGACTAAGGCCGTTCTTGTTTGAGTCGCCCCCGAGCACCTTGTTCTCCGACCACATCCACACCTCTCCACCCTCTGCGGCCGTGAAGAGTTTGGTGGGATCCTTGCGATGGAAGCCAATCTCGTTGATGGGACTTTGGTGGGCGCTGAGATAGGAGGCGGGATAGTTTAGGTTGCGCAGATCCCACACCGTTATGGAACCCTCCTCGCTGCCGCAGAGCAGGATGTGCTGTTGCATAGGATGCGTGGCGAGCGACGAGACAAAGTTCGAGGACTTGTCATCCTGGGAGGCCACCGTGAAGGTGGTCTTCGGCTGTGCCTCGGTGGCCACACGGGCGTCCAGCAATCGGATTACGCCCATCCGATTGGCGGTCACCAGTTCCTGCTGGCTGACATAGCAAATCGAGAACAGCGCCATGCTGTCTGCCTCGATTGTGCGTTTCACCTGACGCACATTTGCAACGGAGACGATGTTCACGCATCCATCCTCGCCAGCGGTGGCGATATCCGTGCCGTAGACTGAGAGGTCGGTGCAAGGAGCCGACTCCTGGCTGCGCTGGAAGCAGTGCAACCTTCCGGACCGAGCCGTGCGCTGGATCTGATCCTCCTCCACGGCTCGTTGAACGTTCAGCACGCTGAGATGACCTGATTGTGAATAAAAAGAAAAAAATGCAAGAGCTTCTTAACAGGAAATGTCTTAAATTCTTACCATCCGCACAGCTGACAGCCAGCGTGTCGTTGTCCACGAACTCCATGGCGGTCACGTCGTCTTCCATCGCCACTTTATCCATGCAGCGCGGCGTCTGGTCCACATTGTCCGATTCTGTGGCGGTGGCATATTGGTTCGCCTGCAGCCTCCAGAGGCGCACAAAGTTCCTGTCCATGTCCCAGCTACCGGTGACGAATCGCTCGCTCTGCTGCAGTTGCTCCGGTAGCCAGCGTACCCGGGCCACCTTCTCCGAAATGTAGTGGGTGGACACGTTTGCCATTGACATCTTTTAAGTTAATTTAAAAAAGATTTTGCAATATAAACAAAATTATGTTTTGGCTCCAATGCGGCTTCTGGTTTAGTGTGAACAGAGTGGGCAAAGTGCATTTGAATTTATCGGGAATAACTTTCTAGTATTTTAATGCGGTAGGCAAATATATTAGATCTAGCGTGAAAGTAGCTAAATTTAAATTGGTACTTTAATGCTGCTGCCACTCTATTCTTTTGGCGGGAAATATCAGTAAACAAAACATCAAAGAAGCAAAAGCAAAAAACGCGGGTGATGGACAAATACCTAATTAAAATGCCTATTAAGTCGAAAACAAATGCTGTGTCCAACCAGGTAAGTGAAATTATCAAAACGGTGAGGGGGTAAATAAATGCTCACAATATTTTGTAGGAGAAACCGGTCGTTAAAAAGGAGACTCCCAAAATGCCAGCCAAACAATTGAAAAATGATACTCCAAAGGAGGTACTTACTTTTAATATTTTATATTATTATTATTATTATTAATCATTCTGTTCTGCAGTTGAAAGACAAGGAAAATACAGGCGAGGACAATACCCCAAAGCAAACAAAAGCAGGCAGACCTGGCAGACCGGCTTCCAAGCGAAAGGCTTTAGATACTCCAGAAGTGGTAAGCAATCCATTAAATGTTTATACATATGTAAATAAATATAATGGATGACTGCTTTTATAGAAGGATGAGAAGGTTGAGGCGGATAGTGAGAATCCGCCCAAGCGCAGGAGTTCCCGAGTCACAAGGAGCACACGTTCCATGGCAGAGGATGGACCTCCTTCCCCGGAAAAGGAAAAACCAGAGAAGCTACCATTCATTAAGTACAAGGGGGCTATCAAGTACTTTACGGAGAGTCAGGATATAGCAGCATCCGCTGACGATGTTTTGTAAGTTAAGAGGCGAATTATAAGGGTCATTGTCATAACTAACAAGCGAGTGAAGCGCAAGGAAAGGTTATTTGGGGCTAGCACCAAAAAGCAAATATAAGATAGATGAACTAATTGAAATTTTCCATATTTCTTCACCAGGCAATGGGTGGAGAAGCAGAAGGATGACGTAGTGCCAATGGCCTTTGACATGGAGTGGCCCTTCTCCTTTCAAACTGGCCCTGGCAAGTCCGCCGTCATCCAAATTTGCGTGGACGAGAAGTGTTGCTATATCTACCAGTTGACCAATCTTAAGAAGCTGCCCGCTGCCTTGGTGGCCCTAATCAATCATCCCAAAGTGCGCCTGCATGGTGTGAACATAAAGAAGTCAGTAACAACATACAAAAAATTTAAAAACTTAATTAAGTCGACGAATTCATAATTTTCCAGTGATTTCCGCAAGCTGGCGCGTGACTTTACCGAGGTTTCCGCGGAACCCCTGATTGAAAAGTGCGTGGACTTGGGCGTGTGGTGCAATGAGGTTTGTGAGACTGGCGGTCGCTGGAGCTTAGACCGTTTAACCAACTTTATAGCCAAGAAGGCCGTGGACAAGAACAAGAAGGTGCGCATGAGCAAGTGGCATGTCATTCCGCTGGACGAGAATCAACTGATGTATGCAGCCATCGATGTCTATGTAGGTTGAAATGCATTTTTGTAAGCAAACTTCTTTAAAATTGACTTTTATTACAGATTGGTCAGGTTATCTATCGGGAATTGGAGCGGCGCGAGAAGGCAAAGCTCAAAAATGAAGAAGAGTTTAAGGATCAGAACGGAGATGCAGCCTTTAAAGCTGTTAAAGCCTTGGGAGAAACTTTTCTGACCAAGATTAACGAGGTGACTCTGTGAGCTGTTTTAATTTTATACAAAAGATTATTGTCAAATTTGTTAAGATTTTTGTGGGCTTTTTCCCCAGTTCAATTATTTTTACTTATACAATCTTAAATTTATAACTTGCATTGAAAAATGATTAGACTTTTATTCTTTGTAATATTTCAATTTGATATTTAAATTTAACTAACATTTTAGGAAAAGTTTTTAGAATTTTACACAAAAACATATTTTTGCAATTGACTGACTAACTATTGCATTTCAACAACTTGCTAGATTTTTTTTATCAAGCTTAGTTAAGCTTTTGAGTACCCCAGAATTAGATTAGGATTACAGATCCTTACATTTCACAACTTGCAATAAATTTTAATTTTGTAAATTCGCATTTAACACTTCTAAACACATAATGAACACAGTTGGAGCTGCCTTTGGAGGCATCACTTGAATTGCGGTCGCCGGGTGCCGATAGCTTCGAGTTTCCGCTTGAGCAGATCGTTGTCCAGATCGACTTGGCGCTGGAACTTCTTCCGGTTTACGGCAGCGCTGGAAAGGCGCGGCGCCGGCGGCTGTTGTCGCTGCTGTGACAAAATGGATGATCAGTCTTGCACAGCCATTCCCATCCAAAAAAAACTTACCTTCTCGGGGGCGTTGAACTTCAGGCTACTGGTGCTCGCTTTGATTGTGGCCGTCGGCTTCACCGTCATCATCTTTCGGAGTAGGATCTGGTTCTGGCGCTCGATCTCACGTAGCTGTGGATTCGTAAAACTGTAGCTCTTGCGCCCCGCATTTTTGTAGCTAAACAGATAAATAGTTAATATAGTTGGCTAAAGCTTACATACGGAGTACTCACTTGACCTTATCGTTGGAGCAGCGGGAACGCGAGACATTAATAGGATATTCGCAGGCATCGCTGTTGAAGCTGCTCGGAGTCCCGCTGTTGGCTCGCCTGTTAGACTCCGGCGGTTTGCGCTGTTGCGGATGCCTCATGAGACCATCTCCCTGCCCACACTCGTCCACAAAGTAACCTTCGCCCATTCCTATGCCCAGATCCCGCACGTTCGGTTCCAGACTCTGGCCCAACTGCTGGCCCATTTCCAGTTCCTGCTCCTGCACGAGAAGATCCGATTCCGAGGGACACCTGCACTTCGGTCTGACCAGCCTTGAAGATCGCGTTGTGACTAACGCCTCCTGGGAGCGCTGCACATGCATCCTGATCGGTGGTCTACCTCCTCCCAAGCTTCGGGGACTGGTCATTGCCGATTCCGTCATCGAAGCCATCTCAGATTCAGTTTCCTCGAGCCTGTGACTGCGCTGTTGCATAAGCTCCGTGGCCATGGCAAGTTGCTCGAATGCCTGGCTATTGGGCGCTCCTCCATTGATCTGGAAGGATTTCATAATTATCTCCGACATCTGGGTCATTTGCTGTTCCAAGTATCGCACTCTTGCCAGATCAGGTTGCTGGGCTAGCGAGGCATCGGCAAGCTCAATGAGGTTTTGAATGGGAGTTTCCATTTGATGCTCCTCAGGATCTGTTCTCTCAATAACTTTTTTAGACTCTGTTTCGGTTTCCGGATGCTGCGTTTTTTTTAAATATATAGTATGTCATCGTTATGAAAAGGATTCTTGTTTAAACTTGCCTGCTTTCGGAACCGGGGAGAGTCATCTGCCAGGGTAACATCCGTCTCGTCACCTGGCGCACCCATGGTGACCACACTGTGCTCACTGCTGTTGTCGCTGGCATCCACCAGCGAAACAATGTCCTCCTGAGGCAGCTGCACATTTTTTTTGCACACTGCGGTGACTAGTGGCTCGTCCTCCTCCAGTTGCTCCACTTCCACATCCGTGCCGTCCTCCTCATCGCTACCTTCAACGGGTTGGCGACCATCGTTCGAGTCCATGGTGCCATCGCTTTGGGCATCGTCCTCGTCTCCTTGAAGTTCCTCCTCCTCTTCGACTTCCTCGACTTCAGCATCCTCGTCGTCCTCCCCATCGTCCTCGTCCTCGCTCTCATCCTTAGTCGGGGAATGGGCACTGCCTGGCATCAGAGTGCGCACCGAGGGCGTCTCATCCTCCACAGACGTGTCCAGTCGCAGACTGAGTTGATTGACCTCGGCCACCGTCTTGGTGATGACCACCTGGCTCTCGTCCTCCGACGAGGAGCTCATGTAGGATACCATGCGATCGCGATTGAAACCGCCAGAGAATCGGGCTGCCATCTGGCGACGGGCGTGTGGCTGTGGGCGTGGTGTGGGTTGGGGATTAAGGCTGAATTGGGAAATGGTCAGCTCCTGGAAGGGAGGACTTACGTTTCCGCGAAGGAACTCGGCCTCCATATCACTTTCGCTCTGCGTGTCGCTCTCCTCCAGCAGGCTAGCTATGTTTGGATCGAGCTCCTTGGTCTCAACATTCTGCTCATCCTCATCCTCACATTCTTCCTCTTCCTCCACTTCTTCCTCTTCTTCCGCTGGCACCTGGTCCTCCACCTCCGATTGCGAGTCCTCCTCGAAGGACTCCTCTGCATAGTACTCCTCATCAGAGTTTTCTCCAGCTTCCGACATCCTGTAATCTTATCCTTCGTTGGCCTTATCAGCAAATTCTTGCTTTCCTTAAGGTGTTTTTTGTTGTGGGGGGAAAAACGTTGTCGAACTTTTCGAGGAATACGTGTGTCTTTTTGTAGTTTGTATCGAGAACTGCCGAAACTTCGCAAGCCCGGTAACTCTGAATTTTGATGCCAGCCTGAGTAGTAGCTATTTGTTTACTGCGTTCGATTTCCAGCGAGTTTGATGCGTTCTTTTGATTGACACCTGGCCCCCCAAGTTGGGGCAGGTGCTCCTCCTCCGTCTTTCCCCTTTATGACAACTTGCCGCATTCCACGCCTCTCGCAACTTTGACTCTTTGGCTGCCTTGCGGTGGCGCTGCCAACCATCGACTGGAGCCCACCACCACCCACCCACCACTTGACACCTGGGAATTTATTTATTTTAGCCAGCGGTTGTCCTGGACGACGGAGCAGGCGCAGGCGATTTGTTGTTGGTTGCCGCAGCAGCACTTACCGGCTTTTGTTGGGCTCATTATTGAAAACACTAAATAAATTAACTAAGTGGTGGCACCAGCATCGAAAAAAAATTATTTACTGATTGAAACATTTTAATGGAGTGCGTTTCAGTAAAGAATAGCTATTTTAGAAAGCTCTTCGACAAAAAACTACAATCAAAACTACAAAAACTTCAGCTAAAAGAGAAAAAAACATAATATTTATTAATTATTATTACTGAACGTACTCAATTATTATTGTTTAGTGTAAATCATTTTTTCAATTTAAGTAGAAACGAAAAAACGTACAAATTCAGTAAAAAATAGTAAGCTTCTCACGAAAAAATTGTATTGATGAAATAATGAAGTCTTTTTTTTTGTAAGTTATATTATATATAGTTTTTTAATATTTTAAAAGAAATAAAGAATGGATCGTGAATAATAATATGTTTTTATGCTAAAGCTTAAATTTGATAAAGCCCAAAACAATAATACATTTTAAACAGCCCCTTAAAGCTCATGTGCCAGCGCCTCTGTGCAAACGAGCTTCCGCTAGAGGACATTCTCTTAGTCTCTCACCTCCTCTCTCTCTTTTGGACATTTCTCTCTGAGGGTCTCTTCCGCAATTTGACAGTTGAATGAAAGGCGAAGCGGCGTCGAAATCCGCCGCCTAGTAGCTTCAATTTGTAAATATTGCGAGCGGCGTTCTCGATGCTGTCCTCTCAGTCCCCCCCTCCCTCGTAAATTCCTCTCCGGAGTCATGTGTCCTCTCAGTGCGCATGGGCGTAGAGAGAGCCCCCATTTTGGGCTGCCTTGCTTAGAGCGAAGCGGCTGCTGTTGGCCAGCGGGCAATTCATTTGGCCAAGAAGCTTCGTGGCGTGCGGGCGTGTTGCTAAGCCGGAAAATGCGCGCGTAAACCGTGTTTGATGTGTGAGAAAATTGTGGCCCGCAACGGGAAAATTGGCTGAGCAAACAAGCGAGTGTGTAGCGTGCCTGCGCCTTGTGCCTGTGCTTGCGGAGTGCGTGAATGAAGAGCCACGGAATCGTAGCGGAAATCGTTTGCTGGCCCATCGACTGGCTAGCCAGTGCGGGTAATTAACCTGGCAAATACGCCATCCTAGCCAGCTTCGGAAAAGCAAGTTATAATGGGCTAACACACTTTTTAAAAACCTCTAGTGAAACAAGCGGCGTTTACCGTTTTAAAAACGATCCCGAAAATGTGTGAACTATGCGGCGTACACGCAATATTTGCTTGTGAAACCATCATTATTTAGAAGTAAAATACGCGGCGTATACGCAATCTTTTGCAGCCTTAACTTAACACGCGGCGTAAACGCAATCTAGGCAAAGGTAGAACCCTTTCGCCATTTCGAGTTGTTTAATCAATAGCAAATAGTTCAGGGGAAATTTCACTTTTTTGTCCTTTGCATGCGTTTATGTCCTTTTAGAACAGTCGCTTAAGTAATTGCAAATTGCGTGCCGCAAGTTTACAAGTTATTTCCTTTCTCTCGCTCTCGCTCTCTCTCTCACTCACCTCCCCACCCTTTTTGGCTGCAGCAATTTGGCTAAGAGCGTGCGAGGGTTGAGGGAGTTGCGGGGGCGGTTAGGTGGGTCAAATGGCGCAGCCACACGACACCAGCAAACAGCCGCAGCCACAGCCACAGCCACCAACTTACAAGCTTCAACCTGAATCCTGCAGCTTCGAACCACCAGCCATCAGCCGCAGTCAATGCGGCTAGACCAACAGCTCCAGCGGCATCAAAAAGTCTTGGCTTAGATTGGGTTGGCTTGGCCGTGGCTTTAAGAGAAACACATCCGTTAAGACGGCGAATACCCAGTAATAACTGAGACTTTAAAAGTTTTCCTTACGAACTCCAAACAAAAATTTAGTGTGGATAATTTAAAAAACTTTTAAATGTACTTTTAAAAGATTTAATCCCCTGCAACACCAAATTTTCTAATGTAATTTGCTACCGACGGATTTTTCATTAAATGTTCAAAGCAAAGCCCCGGATTTTTGGATGCACTTAACAACAATAATAATTCAATAATATGCCACCAAAATTTTAGTGTATTTAATTCTATTTCTATTTGTTTCCATTTCTAAACAAGTGTGTTTTGCTTACCTATGATTTTAAATATTTCCTAAACAAATTTATATGAATTAATTTATTATCTATTTAGTTGATTTTTCCTCGTTATTCCAAAGAGAACAGCACGTTTTCGGTAATCATTGCTTTTGCTCGTGAAATCATTTTTACGGTCTGGTCTCCAGTGTTCAATTAGAAGGAGTTATCTCTAGATTTTATTTTATTTTAAGATGAAGAATGACTGCAAGTAATTGATTTTTTTTATTTTATATTTGTTAGTCTATTATATCCAATTCTTTAAATAACTAGGCCAAAAGTGATTTAAATTTAAATTTAGTTATTGAACAATTTTTTGAAGTTTTTGACCATTTAGTGTTATCTTACTTTCAAGGGTATGGTTAACTTCGTTTTAGACTTGGGCTTAACCTTTCTCGTCGCTGCTCTATTTTTTGTTGCTTATCGATTTTCGACGGTTGACTGACGTCGGGACTTTGGGCCAAAACTCGAGCTGTGAGCCGGCTAATAATGCTCAGTAGGTCAGCGCCGCGGCAGTTTGAAGTGCGTTAGAAGCAACAGTGGTCAAAGGCGTACTGAAACGAAACCGAAAACTGGCACAGCCCAGAAAGAGACAGGAACAGCTGGGTCGAGAGAGACGGGTCGAGTTATCGCGAGTGAGAGGGGAACACGAACCGCTGGTTCTACTTGAGGCGTTTAAAAATAGCAGCTAGCTCACACACAAACGCAGTGGCAACTTCAAACGCGCTTGGCCTACTTTTCTGTCGTAATGGGCTTGGGACGTCAACTGCTGCTGGTCCTGCTCCTGCTCCAGCTCCTGCTCCTCGTTCTTTCGCTCCTCCGTGCCACACACCACTTTTCAACGCAACCGTCTACCGCAACCACGTTAAATGAAGCACTCTAACAAGCACCAAGAAAAACAATATTAATTATCAAGTTATTTGCTGCCATCTGGGTTCTTTGATAGCTGAATTTATATAAAGAGCTTAAAATTTGTTTAGTGCCCAAGTACAAGTCCTTTCATACTAATAATACTAATACTATTAATAAAAACGGTATTTTTTTAAATCTGTTAAATCAAGAAGTTAAACTAATCATCAATGGAGCAGTCGTTTCTTAAGATAATTAAAATGGTACTTTTAAATAAATGTGAGCTGAGTTAGCTTTGCTCCAAATTAACCTTTTATTCGGATATATCCGAATATAGGAAGTATGTTTTCTTCGTGTATAAACAGGGACACTACCTCCACACGTAAATGGCCAATGGCAAAGCAAAGAGTGAACAGTTGCGGTAAGCAGCGGGCGAGTTGAACAGGACAGAAGGCATAGGAGCCAGCACAAGCGGCGTTAACCATACGCACCGTGTGCCAATCCGTGTCCAGCGAATGCAAAGTCAATCAGCGTTTAATTGACAGCTGCAGTCACTGCCAGATACGTCCAACAAAGGGCCGAAAACCCAGCAAGCATTCAGAAACAACAATTAAAACGGAACACACTGAACAGGATTCTGCTGCTGTTTTTGTGTTCAAAAGTGGAGAAGTAGCCCAAACAGAATCGGCTTGAAACGAATTTTTTTTGATTAATGATTTGATGTCAAAGTAAAAGTATCAATTGTCTGCGAACACTATAAGTTGTTGAAGATATGTCAATTCAGAGAGCTTAAGCAAATAAGAAAAATGTGAGGTTGTTCTAATCGAAACTTTAGAACTATTCTTGTTTTTTATATATTTATTATTTTTTATATAAAATCATTATCAATATTTGTACTGTTTTCCTGTGAACAACACATCTATTCCATTTAATTAAATAATACCTTTAATTCAAGCTTTATTTGTTCTTCTTAATACCAAAATATGGAATATAGAATGGGTTTCCAATCGTCCCCTAATCTAATGTTTTTTTAGATTAAAATAAAAAAATCCTTTTCATTGTTTTCAGCCAAAGGATAAAGAGTTTTGTCAATATCTTAAATTTGAACAAATCGAGGAAAACGTTTGAGTGATAAACTTAAACTTTTACTTATTTGCTTACTTTCCTTTTTAATTCCAAAAGAAACTCTAATTGGCTTCATCAAACTTATTTGATGAGGGGTTATATAAAATCAACATTTTCTTTGCCGCTACCCAATTAGCTTTATTGGCTATTTCTGACCAGAGATTGTTTTTTTGAAAAAAAGAGGAAAATTGGAAACCACAGAACAAGTTTAAGTAAGCTTAGGCAACATCCTCTTACCAACATCCTTCCCCCATTTTAGCCATATGGCTGTCAGTGTTTGGTGGCCGTGGCTGCGGCTGCTCAAAACTTATCGCTCGATTGCAGATTGTTTCTCGGCTGCCAAGTCGGCGCCGCAAAGTATGCAGCACTAAGTAGTCGCAAGTTGGCTTTTCTTCTCTCGCCTCGTGTCATGGCATTTTCCAATTAGAACTGCCTTTTGGCCTGGCCAAGTGAAAAAGAGTGGGAAGAAAGCAGGACTGGTGCCAAACATGCGTGGCACGTGAGCGGCAAAGGTAAAAACTTCTCGTTTCCCATGTGCGTGTGTGTGCATGTAAATTACAAAATCGTGCAAAAAAGGTGCCATTAAAAAGGCAAAAAGAGGCAAAAAAACGAACAGCCACCCAACATATGGGAAATTTAAAAGAACATCGAGTTGCGCATACCCTAGCAGACCTTTTTAAATATTTATGCGAGCAACAAAAATGTGCCGACAGAAGGGGCAAGTATTGAATTTGTGAAATAAAATGATAAACATGGGTGAATACTTTTATTTTATGTCTTCCAACTAAATGCCAACCGAAAACATTTTATTTGTGTCACAGAAATCTCTTGCACTTTGAGAAAAGCCAAATATAATAAATTTTTATTTTCAAATAGTGAGCTGTTGGTTAAATTTATTTCATTGTTTTGTTTTGCAAAAAGTATATTATTTTTAGAATTAGTTTCATTAGTTTCAGTATAGGAGGAGTAATGTTAAATACAGTTTTTTTAAAGTCGAATTAGGATTCGTACTAAAGACTAAAGAAGTTTATTAAAAACTATAGTTTATGACCATTACATTTGAATTGAAAAATTCCACAAAACTACTCAAAAGTCTTAAACCGGTAAGAACATTTAAAAAAAACTTTTACATTTACTTTTTCACTTTAGCAAGTTTATATATTTATTATTTTCTGTTTGTAAACTCAAATCTGCCTTACAACTTTTTAAGCTTAAGTCACATTTATATGTTTTATACCTCGAATTAGGGTATTTTGCAAGGAACGTCGAATGTTATGCCCGGCAGGGCGGCAATTTAAATTCTCGCTTCACGCCCGTGGCACGCCCCTGCCTTTTTACCAACCCCCAATCCTCCCCTCTTTCTCCTGATTTGTCGCCTGCCCTGCCCCGGTCGCATTGCGTATACGCCGCGTATTTCACACACACGCATACCTACACGCTCCCGCATGCGTTGCGTATACGCCGCGTTATCCGCCCCCGTCTCATGCGACATACGTGCGTGTGCTGCATAATTACAGGTGCGCTGTGCTGTTGCGGTCGTGGATGATGCGGCTGGCGCTGGCGGTGCCAGGAGCACAGTTCCCGGGCCATAATTGTCGGTTGAATGACTCTCGATGCGATAGCAATAACAGCAAAATCGGCCGCGGTGGCTACAGTTCGCATAATTTTCATCACGGCCCCATTTGACGGAGGAGAACAGCAGCAGCAGCAGCAGCAGCAGCAGCAGCAGCAGCAGCAGCAGCAGCAGCAACAGCAACAGCAGCAGCGAAAAATTGCCAACAGCACCACCGCTAAATTTCGGACTTTGCGACATGTTAGCAAGGGCAAAGCAAACCAACAACACGACAACAACAACAAAACACAACTATCGTCAGCAACATTTAATAAACCAAAAAAACCATCAGGAAAGGGGGGGAGTGCCGAATCATCATCGGGACTAGCTGCGGGAAAAGATGGTTCTCAGCACCGAATGGTCGCAGGTCGAGGTTATCGATCTGATCAACGATGGGAACGGCTTGGGCTTCATCCTCGTCGGCGGGCGCAGCACCGGGGTGGTGATCAAGGCCCTCACGCCGGGGGGCGTGGCCGAGCGGGACGGGCGCCTGCAGCTGGGCGACCACCTGCTGCAGATCGGCGAGGTCACGCTGCGGGGCTACAGCTCGGAGCAGGTGGCCACAGTTCTTCGTCAGACCGGAGCTCAGGTGCGTCTGATAGTGGCGCGGCCGGTAGAGCCGACGGCCATCGATTACCAAACGCTGGCCTGTCAGGCGCCGATTATACCAACTAAGCTCCTCTCCGACCCGGAAGAACTGTCGCGTCATCTCTTCCAGAATCCGAGTTTTGCCACTGCCGCCGCCGCCGCAGCAGCCGCATCAGCCGCTGCAGCTGCGGCTGCAGCAGCGGGCTCCAGCGGAGGCGCTGGCCTGGATGTGGCCAGCCTGGTGGGTCTGGTGCGCGGCGGTCCCGTGGAGGGCTCCGAACTGTCCGCCGTGGAACCGGCTCAGTTGCAGATCAGCGAGCTGGGCGACCTGGCCGACTTCCCACTGCCTCCGATTCCGGGCGGCAATCCGCTGATCACGGAATCCAATGCTAGCCAGCGACCTTGTCCGCGCCTGGATCTGGACATAGTGCCCTTCTCGATACTATCGCCCCCGCCACGCCCCGCCCTGCAGCTGCTGCCCCTGGAGACCCAATGGCGGTCCGTTCAGGATCAGCACCAGCACATTGAGACTGTGATAGCCGACAGCAAGCGCAAGAAGCTGTTGGCCAATGAAAATGGCGGCTCCGCTTCCGAATCCGGTTCCGGTTCCGGCTCGGGCTCCGGCTCCCCCGACGACTCGTACATGGACTCACCGGAAACGGAAACCTACGTGGTGGAGCTTCACAAAAACGTCTACGGCCTGGGCATAACCGTGGCCGGCTATGTCTGCGAGGAGGAGGATCTCTCGGGCATTTTCGTGAAGAGCATCATCGAAGGCAGTGCCGCGGAGACAAGTGGCCAGATCCAGATTAACGATCGCATTGTGGCCGTGGACGGTCGGTCCCTGTCCGGGGTGACCAATCACCAGGCGGTGGAGCTGCTGCGCAACACCGACATCGTGGTTCATCTGACTCTGGAGCGGTTCCTGCGAGGCCGGAAGTTCGAACATTTGCAAGTGGCTCTAACGGAAATCAAGGGCAGCTCCGCGCGCTCCGGCCTGGACAGAAATCAGGACAAGGATGCGGACCAGGAGTCGCAGCTATCCATGCCCGGGTCACCCTCGATAGCCACGCTGAGTTGGCTGCCGCCCAAATCGCTGGATGCCGACTCGATAGCCACCGAAGGCGACGAGGTCGTGGATGCGGAGGATGTGGTCGTTTCGGGGGCGGAGGATGTGTGTCTCGAACTGCCGTCTCGGGACACCGTGGAGTCGAACATGTCGCACGTGCTGGACCGCAGTGATCACAGTGGCGGCGGAGTGATAAGGCCCAAGATCAGTCCCATAGCTCCGCTGACCAATGGCCGCAGCGTAAACCTGGCCGATGACAGTGGCAATGACACCGATGAGCAGTGTCCAGAGCCGGAAGCGGAAATGGAAATGGAAACGGCAACGGCAAGGGCTAAAAAGGTATCGAAGCCGGAGTCGGAGCGGGGTATCAAAGAGCTTGAGGATCTGGATACCGATCCCGGCCAGATGCCAACGCCCACAAACGAGGCGCCTGTGAAAGTGGCCAGCCCGACCGCCGCCTCGCTGCGCGTGGCCTGGAAAAGTGAGTTTCCCGACAGTGAAATTATAGTTGCCGAAATAAATAAACTTTCAGGTCTAGGGATCAGCCTGGAAGGCACCGTGGACGTGGAGTGCGGCATTGAGAAGCGTCCGCACCACTATATCCGCTCCATACTGGCCGACGGGCCGGTGGGGCGCCAGGGCATCCTGCGGCCGGGAGACGAGCTCCTCCAGGTGAACGAGCACAAGCTCCAGGGCTTGCGGCACACCGATGTGGTCAAGATCCTCAAGGAGCTGCCCGCCAGCGTTAAGTTGGTCTGCGCCCGCGGCACTCGCGTTCCGTCGGTGATAAACACCTCGCAAAACCCTGAGGCCTTCGAAACGCGCAGCCTTTTGCCCGGTGGCCACCAGAGTCTCCAGAACCTGCTGAGCAAGGCCCAATCGGAGAGCTCTCTCTACACGTCCAGCACGGCGACTCTAACGGATGCAGGCGCAGCTGGCGGCGGAGCAGGAGGATCGGGGGGGAATGGAGCAGCTGGAGGAGCTCGCTCCAAGTCCCTGGAGAACGTTTCCGGCCTGGCGCTGTGGAGCTGCGAAGTGACCGCCGTGGATATCGAGAAAACGGAGCAGGGATTCGGGTTCTCCATCCTGGACTACCAGGACCCTCTGGACTCGGAAGGCAGTGTGATCGTAATTCGCGGCCTGATACGCGGTGGTGCTGCGGAGGCAACCAACGAGATCTACCCGGGCGATCGCCTGATGAGCGTCGGCGACCGCCTGCTCCAGGGGCTCGAGCTGGACGAGGCGGTGTCCATTCTGAAGGCCGTGCCGCCGGGACTCACCCGCCTGGGCATCTGCCGACCCCTCTCCGCCTCGGACAGCAACAGCAACAGCAACATAGCCTCGCCGCTCGGCGATTCGGCCAGCACATAGTGGCAGCCCCTCCCCGACGACCATCAGGAGTCGGATACACCACTGGAATCGGTATCGGAAGCAGGAGCGAAAGCGGAAGCAGAGCAGGAACTGGAGCCGTTTGCAATATGTGAGTACTCCTTTATCTTTACATTACCAAAAAGCTGCAGTTCTAATTCTTTAACTTTTCTTATATACATCTTATAACATCTCGTTGCGTTAGTCTGTAAAAAACTGCATTTAAAAATAGGTTTGTAATATCGGGGCGATATTTTGCGATGTTTAAGATGTCAGCAATTGTTGTTGTTTTTAACTAAAAAGCTATTTCCATCCTGAATTTAAAAATGTGTTTATCAGCATAGTAATGACTTTAAACGAGCCAATTTGAATTCGATTTAAATAAGCAAATAAAGGAAAAAAGATTCAATTATAAACTTTTCGGAAAGTTTTTGACTGATTGGTGGCGCGCAGCTGCTACCAAAAGTCAATATGAATGCGAATGGTTATTGAGAAAGCCGGGTCGCGAGTTAATATTAAATTGTCACCTGTCACACCTGTTGTGAATTTCACTTCCGGATTTTTTCTTTCGCTTTTCTCTGCTTACAACTTTAATCAAGTGGTAGTTTTTTTTTGCTTGCGTGAGTATTCATGGATACCTTTTTTGGGTCTGGAGTTTCAACCTGATACATATATATGAGATTTCGTTTTTAATTGTGGCCCTTGGTTACGCCCAAAAATCATTTTAAAAAGGTTACGCCCATCATTGGACAGGAATCAGAAAATAAATGTGTAAAGGGCCATTGTTAAATGGATGACCGCTTAATATGCTTTTGAAGTAGTTCATTGCTCATACACCCTGTACGGTAAAAACAAAGATTACCGTCTGCCTTCTTCCCATCTTATTAAAAAAAATATTTTTAGATATTGACCGCAACCTTTTCGTGTGGGCTAATTTGAAGGCAACCTTTCTGCCTTAATGTCTACTACTTCTTTTTAAAAATAATTTGTTTGGGCTGTTGAGAGGGGTATATTAAAAACTAAAGTTTGGTAAAAATGTAAAATCGATTCGGGACCATGAATAAAATTTGGGATCGCTTCAGAAAGCAACATTCATAAATTACTTGGCCCAACTAAATTTCGTTTAGTAGATTCTTGCCCAGTTTGCCCTTAACTTGCTTAATTTTTGATACAAGCTTAACCACACTTCTCTCCTTGCTTAAATCATTACATTTGTAATTAAACATAGGAAAATTGTGTGGCGTTTGACATATGCTGAAAACTTTTAATACCCAACACCTAAAATGCTAGGACCAACGGGGAAAGTGTCCTCCAGGAAGCTGGGCCAAAACTTTCCCTCACCCACTTATGAATACGAAGTTTGGTTTACACAGCTTGGGGCCCTCTTCACGCGTTAATAATTTATGCGTAGATATAAATACAAAACTTTGACAAGAGCTGGACGAAGGATAAACTGAAAATTACCACTAATCTCCTGGGGTCGACATTTTCTCTTCATGTTAGCCTCATAAATAGTAATTATCTTAATTGGCTCTAGATGTTCGCATTCATAATTTACAATTTGTCTAGCTGGCTTGGCTTTTGTTTATAAAATCATTATTTAGCAATAGTTGGTCAGCATAAATAATAAGGAAAAACAAGTTTTGCTGCCTTGGCCAACTGGCAGTCAAGTTGGCCGATGATTTATGCATGTGGCGATGGCGAAAAGTTCTTTTCCTCAAACTAGTTGAATGGTGGGAGGTTCCAGGTGCGAATCCAGGTGCTCTGAAAAGCGAGCAAGTTGAGGTTGAATAATAAAACCACGGCCAGTAATTATAAAAATGTTTGGTACATGTGCAAAAGCCGGCGGGGAAATTTTTTCAATTTAAGTATATATACAGCACACAGAACCCGTATAGAGTTATATGTACCCACGGATATTTATGCAAGTGTGTGTAAATATTTGGGTAGATAGTCATTTGTTGTTGTTTGCCCGTTTAATTAATTGGCTATTAAAAGTGTTGAAAATTGAAAACAAAATTTAACGCCGCTGCAGCGGCAACAGCAGCATAAAAATAGCTTACCCTGACCCCACCGGATTTTGTGTGTAAAACAGAAAAATTGCTGCGCAAGCAAATTGTTCAAATTAAATTGGAAGTAAGAAATTACGTGTAAATGCAGGAATTAAATACTGTAGCCACATCATTTATTTATTTTGGTTTTCATCCCATCCACTATGTGAGAACTGTTAAAAGGGAAAGTAAATTTCGCTGAGTCAATACCCGGGTCATAATTCTCCCACAATAAGCGAATTAAATGCTTCACAACAACCACATGTTTTCGTTGGGTGCCTTTGTTTACAACGGCGTACAAAATATTTACGCAACCAAAACATAAAAAGCATAACAAATAACATTTTATAAGGGTATTATTGCCAAGCTCTAGCAGATTATGCCTTGGCATAGTTCATGCCTTTTGTAAACTAGAACTGTAAGTCATATGAAAATTATCAAACTAAAATTAAATTGCTGTGATCTATTTTAAATTAAGTAGCTGTCATATATAACTTGTCTATGTTCTTTTTTCGCCTATAAAAAAATTAATTAATATTAAAATGAATTTATTATGATTATTAAGAGTAAAATACTTTGATTTGTAAAACTCGCAAAGCATTTATAATTAAATCGTAAAGATAAATTGGCTGAATATGCAGTTTCAATTAACGTTATTATGAAAATATTATGAAAAAAACATTTTTCTAATGATTTAGCTGTTTCAGTGAAGGCCTTCAATAATATTTTAATTAACGTGACTCGCATCTTGCCCCAGAATTTTCAAACTCATAAACTGTTTACAGTTGGCAGCTTAGCAAGCCTGATTCGCAGGCGTTGCATTTTAAATCAAATTAATGTAAACAATTGCAGAGATGTCAGGTGGTTGGACATTCTGCCAGTTGGCTGCAGCACCGATAATAATGGTTCAAGAACGACTGACAGTCGGGGAAAAGGCTGGGTTATGTGTGTTTGTGGCGTTCCAATTTTGCAAATGTAAATATGAAAAACCAACATTATAATTCCACTGGCGAATATGTGTGGGCGATTAATCCTAAAGCTACTGTCTTTGTTGCCAGGCACTTGCATTTGCATTTCAGCTTCAATTTACTGATTGCTTTGCCATAGAAAGCCTCTCAAAGAAATTACCCAAGGAATTTATAATTCAGTATATTAAGTAGTAGTTAATTTGGCGAAATACATTTCTCGTTTTACCTTGTAAATGGAAATAATGGATTACTGAAGGACAATAAGCTTTAAAAGAATTTCATGATATTTCAAGAGTGAGATTCTCTAAGAAAGAAAGAAAAGGAAAGTTAAATTAAGTGCAATTTAATGGCCAGAAATTTAAAAAAAAACTTAGACAATGAGAAATAATAACATATTAACATAAATAAAAGCTGAAGGGAATGTAACAATTTTAAGTTTGCAAGGATATACAAATTATAAAAATATTTAGGTTTTTCTTTATTTTTTATGAAAGTACATAAAATAATTATATGTGCCATTTTACGAACCTTAATGTAGCCAAAGAAATAGTTGCATTTCCTGTATTTAGAGTTTTTTCATTAAAATGGCTCTGAGCCCGATTGCCGGTTCTTCGAGGATATTTGCGCTTACAAGTATAACAGACTGCAAAAATAATTACGGCAGAACAAAAAACTCATTAAAACGCATTGCACACACCGCAAACATTGCCATCAGAGAATGTGAGTGAGTGAGCTTTCTAAATTTCCACTGCCTTGCTCGCGTCTCTGCTATTTCCGTTTCCGTTTCCTTCGCCCAGAATTGTGGGCCATGCATGGAAATCTATCAACGTCTGTGCCTGGAAGGCACTCTCCCAGTTTTTCATGCTGGAATGCATTCATTCGTGCACAGAAAACAATTGAAATCGACTTATAAAAGCAGTGCCCCAAATATCAATCTTAACCTGATGGTTGTTACAACTCAAATACTATACCATTGCACATAAGTCATATTGTAATTTATAAGAATAAATACAACACTTTTTTTACTTTGCTTTTTAATTGATATTACATTTCTATCTTATTTAAGTTATTTTTCAACAGCGAGATTCGGATACTAGTTCATGAAGTCAATTTAAAGTTAATATATTGTTCTGTATCAAACAAAAAAGTTATCAGTTTAATTTAATAATTTCAGTAATTAGTATCATATTTTGTTCTCAAAATTCGGATGTAAGCACGTAAAGTGGGCCCTAGCACAAAAAACATTTGTTTAACGCAACAATTGTGTAGATAAGGCAGCTGCCGGATCCGAAGGAGTGGCATGGTGGAATGGAAAAACAATAATGGGGCAAGAGCATAATACAGATAGCGGCAAGGAAGCCCATACCCCCATTATTTTCCTCTGAACATCACTCATCGTCCTTGGGTCGCCCTCTTTGTAATTTTCTGTGCATGAACTTCAAGCTTACACTTTGCAGGAACAGCCAACAATTGTTGGCTTTATCTTGGCATATCGACAACAAGCTCATCATCCCGTGCTTTGTGAGTCCCTCTCATCACCCATTGCTCAGTGCACTCTCGAATTTGTCGAGAATGAGCTTGCCTGCAGTTTATTTTTTTTTCACTGAGAACCATTGACTTTTTTCTCTATAGTTATGCTAGACTTACACTCTCTATTAATGCAAACTTTACAAGTATAAAATAACAATTTGCATATTTTTATCAGCAAAGTTTTCAAAACGATTATACCGCACCTTTTAAGAATCTACTTTATATTTAAAGTCTTATCTTCTATATTCTAATATCTTTGCATCGCCTTTTCTTAGTGGGATCTTAAGGAATTAAACATTTTTTAAAGTCAAATTTGTGCATTGCTATATTTGCTTCATTAGGGAAATCTAGTTAAAAAATTGTAAAATTCTAAAAAATATGTCTTATTCTTACAGACTTTTCTTGGATTTAAACTTATGCTATACAATGTTTTAATTAAACGCTGATAACGGAAAACACAAAAAACCGCTAATTGTGGCCTTCTAAGGGCCTTTCATTTTTTCAATCTTCTGGTGTTCTTGAAGTTATTTTCTCTTTTTTTTAGGCCCAGCTCTCGAGTGAAG